ATTCCATCAAGATCATCTACTGGAAAACTACTATTTACATCAGTTAATGGTAAATGATTTTGTTGAGATGGTAATGTTAAATCATCAAAAACAAAATCTGTAGCTTGTGTATTTCCAGTTGTTAAATCCGGATCATAAAAAATTAAAGGATCTCGAAAATTTGATGAAGGATCTTGTGTAGTACTTGCGTTATAAGTCATTTTTATTCTTCTAGAAATAGACGTGTATAAGCAAATAAATAAATATACAAAGATGATTTCGTTTCAACAAGAGAAAAATATTTATTTTGATGATGAATGAATAAAAACGGAAAATGATTCATAGATCGTGACACATATCTACAAGATTTATAAATTAACCAATGAGATTATTTTAAAATGAAGAAATACAATTAAATACACGAAAAAGAATAGGAAAAAAATTACAAAATGTGTATTTTATTTTCAAAAAAATAGAATTTTAAAAATGGAATTAAATAATTGAAAGTGAAAAATGTATGTTTACGACATCTATCGAGATAAGATTTATCATATTAGTTATCTTTTTGAATAAAATAGAAAAAAAATACACTCATCTACCTCAAAGTGTGTTAGTATAGAATGGATCTCTAATGAAAACAACTTGAAATTCTCGAAATAGATGTGGTAGAAGGTTGACGGAATTTCATTTTTTCAACTTGTGAGACATGTATCTCCTCAATAACAAGAGAAATGTTCTTGAAATTTTTACCATATATGAAGATTAACTAATTATACTGGCACTAAAAATTTCGCTGACTTGTGGCGAGCCATAACGGAGTTATATGAAAAACATCCTTCGTTACGGAATTTCAAAAATGGACAAAATTTTGAGGGAGGATTCATATTTCAACATTTTTCTCCGAAACTAAGTGACACATAAATGAACGTTTTATACATAGAATGTTCAGCTTTTCACAAGCTCTTAGAATATCGTGTCATTTTCTCTGTAAAACATTTCCTTTAAATAAGACGACTTAAAAGATTGAGCGTTACGGAATTTCGCCGTTTTTCTCTTTTTCTATGAGGGACAATTTAGTGACATTTTTATAATAATTTTAACCATCAAATCTAACTTTTTTCATTCTGTAACGATTAAGAGTATTGTTTTCCATAATTCGATTAGTTCATTTTTATGTTTGTCTCAAAATTTCATAGAAAATTTCATTCATTATTTTGACAAAAATGAAAATTTTCAAAATAAAAAAAAACCGAAATTTCGTGATTATTCGTGTTTTTAAGCTCGTAGGAACGGAAAATGATATTTGTTTTATATGTCAGCTGAGTGATTCAGAATGTCCAACAAACTTAATAATATTTCAAGATCATAATTTCTGTTGAAAAATTTTTTTTCTATATATTACTGATTTTTAACCTTCACCCGCGAAGGGGACCGTTAGCTAGCCGTGCGCATATCTGACTACGCCATTTTAAATATTATATATGAATGATTTCAATGCATTTTAATTCAAGATCTTTTAGACTTAATCGATTAATATCAGAATTATACACGGTCGCTACAAAGAGTCTTTGTATTCATGCTAAATCTAAAGATTCTTTTCAAACATAAATATAAGTCCAATTATATATAATCAGATTCTTCGTAAGAATAAACAAATTTAGTTTTAAAACAAAAAATGTTCTTATTACGAAGAAATTATAATATATTTCTTAAAACTAGAGAGTATGAAATATATGTGGTTATCATTATTTGGAATATTCCTTATGTAGAATTTATTATTTGTATTCATCAGAGAAAGAATTAATCTATTAATAATTCAAATTAATAACCATCTTTTTCTCTCATATATATTCAATGACTGATCATATTAAATCTCATTTAACAGAATTCTTTGAATTTATTAATAATTTACGAACTAATTTTCATTCAAAAAATATTAATAACAAGTTTTTTTATAACACATTTGTGAACAACATTGATTATTATTTGAACACCATGCACCTGGACAATAACAACCATATCCAACACCAATAAATGGACTTATTTTCGAATCACACTGAAAATGTGTCCAAACAGCTCCAGGCATAACTTTCGCATTATCTTGTGCTTGATTAGAATGAAAACGAGATTGTTTATCTAATTTTTTCTGAAAAAATAATACTGTTGCATCGGATGATGATGGAATACGAATAATTAACATAAGAATAAATAATAAAAATATTTTCATTGAGAAAAAAATAAAATGATCTTCTAAATATAATAGAATACAAAAAGAAAAAGATTTTTATATTAATACAAACCTTGAAATTTTTTGAAAAGTAATCAAATGATATTCATCGATAGATATCGTTTGACACTTGTATAAAATAGAATTTTTTTTTTCGTATATTCTAGTTAAATAGAAAAAAAAAGTGAATATAGCAAGAGAATAAAAATCGTAAGTGGTGTTGAATGATTTCCTGTTAAGTATAGTCCCAAAGAATGTTAAAGAAATTCTTTCCGTTCACCGTTGATTTGACAATCGGTTTTTACGTACTTTTTCCGATTAATATTCTTTTTTTTCTCTATTATTGCATTCAAGCAGTAATATTAACTAAAAGAACAATTCTTCTACTATTACTAAATCAATATGAATATCAAGTTTATTTTAAATTCTCGAACGTTTTCAATGAAAAGAGAAAGCTGTCAATCGACAAGTGCATGAAATTTTCTTAGAATTTTTAAGTCTATATTATCAATATATGATTGATTTACATGTAGAGAAGTGATTTGTGAGTAGGAAACAAATCTAAAATTTATTTTATTTTTTATTTAGATTCAATCTTTATCTAAGACTTGCGAACAAAAAATATACGACGCTAGTTCAAGTATTTTAGAACACTTTAGATATTATGTATACAGAATATTGATTCATTGGAAAATTCCGTAAAACTTTATTAAGAAAAATAAAAATATGAGTGATTATCAATCAAGTCTACTAATGATGTTTATTCGATATTGAAATTTCCAAATTAAATTCTTTATTAAGACAAAAAAATTCTATTTACAAATTAAAATTTTTTAAATAATATTAATCAAATACTCTCTATATGAGTTTTATAATATATGTGATCCATATAATATAGGTGATTTTTGTAATCGTTGTTGATAATTTCCACATTTTGGTAGAAATCTTTTGAGTTCACGACGAAATTTCATTCCACAAAATGAATAAAGAAAAAAATTTATTGAGTATGATAAATAAGATATATGTTGACACGTAATAACAGTAATATACATTATAGAAATATAATTAGGATTCATTTTTGTTGATTTTTCTCTGTATGGTATTGTTGGAGAAGTAAAATCACTATTTTCAATTATTGTTGACATTGTTTCATTAGAATATTCTATTACATTTGCACTTATATGATGAGAATTACTTGTTGATTGACTATTTTTTAATAAATAAATTTTTAAACTAATTGTACATATATGTTGAGGAGCATTTAATAATAAGAAACAAGTTGATACTATGATTAGCATACGTGTTACACGATGTGATTGAGCATGAGAACGAGTTGTTGAACGTATTGAAGCAGTACGTCGAGCTCTAATATCAACAGATAGATGATTATCATTTGTTTCTGAATGACTTGGGAATCGATATAGAGAAGTCTAAATAAAGACAAAAAAAGCAATCTTAAATCAAATTTACATAGAACACAATGATATATGAAATAGTTTAATTAGTCAAAATTTCTTTCGTATGTTCATTTATATCCTGTTAAAAATGATAGAATGGATAGGATGTTGAGAGTTATTTTTGATAGGAAAAAAAAACCAGTTTATAAGTTTTCGTTGCATAGAATGATAGAGCGGTTTGCCAGTATTATATCAAATTTACGATCGGGATAAACCTCAGTTTTTGTAAATAGAGAATTTTTGTGAAGCACGAACTGAAAGGAGTGTTTAAGTGTTAGGCCTAGATATTTCTATTCCCTCTCTTCTTCCTCAGACATGACAAACCTCTTAGGAATAAATAGTAATAAACGTGCCAGACATTATCAATTAACATTCATTTATATTACAGATCAAGGCAGAGATGCTGACTAGTGATCATAATAGATGTGAGTTACAACTATTATAGAAACTATTTCGTGTTTTACATCTGAGTCTCACAAGAGTTGGTCTAACAACTTTAATAATATTGTTTCGTAAATTTGATGTAGGTCAGTAAGAACATGCTGTAGTGACCTTGAAAAAATCTTATTTTATGAAACATCATGTTATCTTTGTTGAACATCTATCACTATATTTGGGTTTTATGAGTGGATGTACTATCATAGATATATATTTTGTATTTTCTCATACTGATAAATGATTCTAAACGATTGCTCATGTAGCGGCAAAGTATTATAAAACTCTCAAAGCGATTCTAGCAATAAATGTAAAAATAATTGTCATATTTAGAAGCAGATCGATCGAGAATACTGAAATACCTTATATACAGAAAAATCGTTTTTTTTATCTATTTCATATAACAAATATCTAATTAATTTTAAAAATCGTATATTTAATTTAATATTTTGTTTTTAACGTTTCATTCCAGAAACATTAAATATGTCTAGATTTAACACTTTATGTGTATGATTAACAAAATGCATTCAAAGTTACGTCACATATTTACTATATATATACTGTTAAAAATGTTAGTCTATGTTCGGAAATAACAAATTTTGTTATTTTTCAAAAGATATGTATTTACTCTGGTCGGAGTTTTAAATTTCCTCTTCGAATGCAAATAATTCGATATAAAAATAAATATCGAGGTAGTTCTATACTTTTAATTCTATGAGTTTGTCGGATGTATACATCTAGATAATTGATCGTTTACTATTAACAGATGTGCTATACTTCAACGTCATCACGTAATCATTTCAGTTCTAGAAATGAAAAAATTCTTAAATTAAAAGAGATCAATCCTTTTAAATTTATTCTATATTTCGGATTGTTAGTATTGAAACATAAAACAATTTAAAACTCTTGTCTCATATATTTTAGGATTAGTGCCTGGAGGTATTATTTATTCAAAAGTAATAAATACTTAAGAATTAGTTTGAATTTTATTTATTTGCCATTTCTATTGATTTAAAAACTACGACATATAATGGCGTCACTGTAGTGACGTAATCAATGTTGAGCGCCGTCCAAACACCCGTTTTAACTTTATCAGCCAAATTCTCTTGCGTGCCCAATTGCTGTCAAATTTCTGGTTACGTCACTAGTTTACAAGTTTCATAAATCATTCTTTTAAAAATTTGGTTAATTAACAACTATTTCTATTTGATATCGGTGGAACTTTTTAGACTCTTTGCTTATCAAGTTGTTAATATATCATAAAGAATGAAAAATTTGTTATTGGATTTCTCATCTGTAGCTCTAACTATATAAGGTACCGTCGATACCAAAATCACGAAAAACGTGAAGGAGACCCTTTTTATCAAAAAATACATTCTTTTCAAAGTATGCTATTTTTTCCTACTTAGTTCTTTATATAAACTCCTAAAAATAATTTTTCCAGCTTCAACATACAAAACTGAATCAAATGATATATCTTTTGAGTCAATTCCAGAACCTTCATCCTTTGACTCATATATTACAATTTCAGTACTCCGACGCTACCTGAAAAAATTATTCTTAGAAGTTCGTAAAAAGAACTAAATAGGAAAAAATAGTATACTTTGAAAAGAATGTGTTTTTTGATAAAAATGGCCTCCTTCAAGTTTTTCATAATTAGCAGCTCAAACTGTATCGAATGCTGTATAAAAACTGCGAAAAAACAATTCTACTTGAAGTTCGAATTACCTGCAGCTTATGTCAAAAAAACACCTGTGTTTTTTATGACTGTTTCTATTTATGGAATCAAAATCTCGGTGAAACTAAAAGAAAGCGTTACTAATTCATGTTGACATGTTCTATCAACCATTCATTCATATAAATCTGAGGGAGGTATTTTTTTTAAAGAAAAGTTGATTTCAATATTTAATTTTCTTTTGCACAATGATCTGTCACAATCGTCTTACTTTTCATCAAAAATTATACTACACATTCAACAGAACTGTTTTAAACTGCTAAGTTGTAATAAGTATGAAAGGTTTGCAATGTTGAACTTGAGAAATATTAAACTTATAGTAATATACGAATGGAGTCAAGTTTTTCACGATTCGATAAGGCTTTGCAAAACTGTAGGTATAAAGAACATTTTTCTATATCAATAAAGTATTACTCTTTTCAAGTTCAAAATTATGAAATTTTTATAATTGGTTCTATTTAGCATCAGTAAATTTCACTTTCGACAAGGTTTTATTTGATATACCATAAGTGCTAAGTCTTCCCTTAATATTACTAAATTATAACAATTTTTGCGATTGAAATTTCTGATATTTACCTTAATATTTGATCCTATCGTATGTACAGATGATCTTGAATGAGAGTTTGAATCATATGATAGTGAACTTTTTTGTTTTGAATTTAATCGTAAAAATTCTTTTTTTGTTTGTTTATTACTAAATGATAATCGTTGATTTTTTCGAGAAGTTTTTCTTAAATGAAATATAATTAATAAATTTAATGTTGCAATTATTGTAAATGGTGTAACAAATGATAATATTGCATCAGATATAAACCATTTTAATTGTAATTCTTCTTCACACAAGTAATAATCATTTGATTTAATAAGTGCGAAACAAAAAGATATCCCAAATAGAATAACTAATGATACAATAATATAATGTAAAATATGAATATTTTTTTCCATAAATACACTCAAGGGAAATTTAACTGCAAAAAAACGTTGAATTGTAAAATGAGCTGTAAAAGATGCTGATAATAATTCAGCTAAATGAGAAATAAAAGCTAATAGTACACAAAAATTATTAGAACTATAACCATTTAATGTAAACAAACAATGAGATAGAAGTGATAAATTAAATAATAAATCTGTAACAGCTAAAATACAAAAAAAAAATATATATATATAAAAATATCAAAGATTTATATATATTAATTTACCAAGTGCAATTAATGTACAATTATTAAAATTTTTTGTAAGTGATCGTTTAGATAACATAATTATTGTAAGAGCATTTCCAGTAATACCAATTAAAGTAACAATAATAATATATGGTGTAAATATTTTTGAAAGAATATTCTGAATATATGCTAATCCAGTGTATGTTTCATAACTATTATTTGACATTTTGTTTTGTTTTATATTTTCAAAAATTAAAAAATTATCTAAAAGAAAAATGAACTGAATTAGCAAATTCTATTAGCCAAAGAATTATATCGATAGATAACTGTTCAATAATAGAAAAGAAAAGAAATTTCCTTTTTTCTAATTAAGCTGCATATATTAACGAACGAAACATAAGTCAAAACAAACGCATTCTTTACAAATTTCTTTTATTATTATATGTGACAAGATTAGAATATTAATTCAAAAGAAAGACTATCGGAAGAGAAAAACAAAACTCACACGCATCTTTACTATTATTCTCTATATCTATTAAGTCAAAAGCCGACAAACATACTTATAAAAAAAATTATAAAACAGTTTGTCAGGCTTTTAAATTCTACATACTAGACGTTTCTTTTTACCTGACTTTAATAAATGTCTAAGTATAATAGATGAAAAAAAATATAAAGAGATTTCCTTATTTTCCAAACAAAGAGAATCAGAAATGTTGTTTCAGAAAAATAAATCAAGTGCCTATGAACGTCAGTACAAAAAAAACTATTTAATATTGTAAGAAAAGAAAGAGAAAATATCATGCACCTTTAGACAGCCTTTGTATTTATTCGATAATCCTTCTTTCCTCTCAAACACTAACATGAATCTTCTTTTTCTATTCTAATTATGAATGACAACTATACGTGTTCAACTATATATATATTCTCAATTTACTTTCTTCTAGTCGAATAGCACACTTAATAATGTAAGAAAAATTTCATAGAAAAAATATTCTACCAAAGAATATCATCTTGCAAATGTTAGATTAACATATGGCCCTCACGTATGATAAAAAACAATAAAAAAGCATATGTCATGAACATTGTTTTCTTAGTGGTGACGGCTTTCCTCTCTCCTATTTTTTTTATATAAACGACATCTTTCAAATTTATTAGAAATTTACTTTGAAAATCATATATATATTTATATAAATATTTAATCAAAGACCGGAATGCACGTTTTTATTTTTATAGTTATCTTTAAGAACATTTTCAAAAGAATAAACTTAAATAATCATCAGCTGTTGTTTTAAATGAAAATAAATAGAAATTTTATGTAAAATATGTATATTTACTATTATACTTTTTCCGTGATAATTTGCGTCATATATAAGATAATCAATTGTATACTAATGAAACGAACGGATGAAGAAGGTCACAGTTTACTGCAACATCTTTTTTCTATTTTCTTTGATGCTAGCGTATTGTGATTAAATATTAACTCATATTTATCTCTCATGTGACTAACTTATTTAAGAATGTTCACAGTAATGGAATATTAAATAAAATAAGCTTGATATATTCTCAAAAGAATCAAAGGTCATATTATAAGGTTTCGATGATTGTGTCATATATTTTATTTTTAAAAAGCAAATCTAATAACATCTTTTCTCAAGCATATAATAGTTTTCGATTAGACGGACGTATAAAATATAATTAACTAATTTTTACCCTATGTTTAGATATTTATTACTATGAAATTTACGACATCTACTTACCGATATTTCTGGGAAAAAAATCATTTGTTTGTAACGATAAAATATACTGTCAATGTCTTTAAGCAAAATATCCTATCTGATTTTTAAAAAATTAATCTTGTTTGGTATGTTCGTTCTTTTGTCTTCTAAAATCAGTAATTTGCTTTCGTTAAAATATATTTTTGTATGTTTCTCAATATGCATGATCAATAAATATTATATTATAGCAATTCAACCAATAATAGACATAATTTTTCGAAGCTTTCCTCGAAATAATTATACAATAGGCCAATTGTTCACAATTAAATCTTCCCATCATTTATAAAAACATCATTAAACTATATGTTTATTTTAATAAGACAAAGAATATTTATTTAAGAAATAAGCATTTTTCTATATGAATAAATGATAAGTATTATTATTTTTGGTATATATTAAACTAAACATCGAAACAATGTAATTAATCTCGTTTTTTTTTCGTTATCAATATATCTCAAATTGCTTTTTATTATAGTTTTAAGATATACTACGATATTTATATATATTTTTTTATTGTCTCGGATACATCATTCGTGTATTTTTTAGCTTAAATACGGTAGATTCAACAGAAATTATGTTCGCTTGTATTTTTATCATGAGAGATATATTATAAAGATGAATACTTGACAATATTTTTACACACCTAGGCATTCAATGCTCAACTATCGTTCAGGTCAGAATACTCAATTCAGAATCAAACTTTGGAGAGAGGTGAATCGCTTCCCTGTCCTGATTTACAACAGCCCGGTGACAATTAAAATCGAATAGGTCTATCACAGAATATACAGGTGTTTAAAATTAAGTTACCCTTTGAAAAATAGTAACATATTGATAAATTCTTATGAATCTAATTCAAACGTTCGGTACATATTATATAAATTTCAATGTATTAATAGTTCATTTAAACTTTTCAACACTAGATATCTGTTACTGCTTAAATTATTTATTGTAATCCTTGTTCTCATTTCTGAAGACATATTCAATAATTTCTTTGATAAAAGAACCAACAAATTTACTTGAAAACCTTTCGCCTTTTATTTCAATTACTCAATTATATATGAACGAACTCGATCTATAGAATATTAATGAATAAAAGACTTAAGAATATCTCTCAACTGTAAGAAATGTAATATATTCATCATAATGAGTAATCAGTCAATTCTAAGAAACAATTGTGGAAAATAATGACATCCTCTTATTCTATTTAGTTTAATTCGAAAAACAAAATTTTTCTTCATTGATGTAAGGAAACAAATATCCCTAGATTTTTCTTTTGAATAAAGAAAAGTATATCTTCATTTTTTTAAATCGATAAATTTCTAACTATCGGTCATAACCAAAATTATCTATTCATGTTTATTAGAAACAATTATTATCATTAGATCTATAATTAACTATTAGTTTTATTCGAGTCAATAGTGAGTAAATGAATCTGTCATATTTTGACGTCATTTGTGCAATATATTTAAGTATCTATTTATCATTAGAATTTCTTTTTACTTGTCTTATTCTGACATTAACAATTTATATCAATTCGTATTTAAATTATAGACTAAAATTTTTCAAAAAAATAACTGAATATGCTGTTTGTTTGATAATAAAGTTTCGATTTTACATTCAAATCTCGAGATAGACTTATTTTTATATTTTTTACATGTCATTTTCTCTTGCTGTTATTTAATTAACCATACAAATGGTAACCAATAAATCTAACACGATTTTTACAAAAACTAAATTGACCTATTAGTTCTTCATACATTTCCATGATTTAATAAACCGGAATGATATATTAAAGATCGCGTATTAAAGCCAGACACGGAAGTAATAGTTTAATAGTAAAAGAAAAATATAAATAGATGTATTATGTTCTTCGTTGCATAATGACATATCAAAACTAATAAATCTATAATCTACATTACCATATATATCATCGGAGATATATTTAGATTATTTATTGTTGACATCAAAGTTGAAGAATCTATAGGTGCGCTTGTGTAGTTCCCAAAAAAGTTAATTTTTTAAAAACGCAAAATTTTCATAATAAACATATTAAAAAGCAGTCATTGTGAGAATATACCGTTAGTATTAGCTATTATTAGTTTCTATTCAGAGTAAAAGCATACAATTTAATTAAAATTTCTTTGTTTCCTAAGAACTCTTAGTTAACAGTGCATTTTAGTCGCACTTTGTATAATAACATCAAACGTCGTATGTTTCTCTTTGATGAATAAATCACTACATAGAGTTACTTAAAGTCATGATCACAAAATAAATATATAAAATTCTATGATTTATTGAATTTTATTCAAATTGTAAAGTAAGGCAAGTACGTTTTTTATTTTTAATCATTATTTTTATCTACATCATTAAAAAGATAGGAGATTTGTATTCTTGTATTCAATATTTTATTATATAGACTTCAAATTTTTACCGTTATTTATAAGTATATATTTTGTTGTATTTATATAAAAGAAAGCAAACGTATCTTTGATAATATTCTCAGGTGTATTTTTTTTACGATTATTTAAGTTCTCAGTGGTACTTGAGTGAACTTGCCTAAAAATATATACTGCCGACTGAGTTCTTGTAAATATATTGAATAAAGTATTGTTAAAGAACTATAAATGGTCTAAGTATTTTCAAGTCTTTGCTAAACATAGAATTTTAAATAAATGACAAAAAAAAACATCGACGTATATCATGTTTCTACAGTGTTGGTGAAACTTAGTCTTAGAAAAAAAAAATTCAGTTGATAGACAGATTTACTAAATGATATTTGTAATATTCAGTTTGAATTCGAATAATCAAGTAAATCAATTAGATAACTATATAAAATTGAATATAATAAACCTTGAACGAGTGCATTTTTTTGTTTGCGGTCGGTACACATTGAAGAATATTTGACATTAGACTGGTGCATTTGTTGGGTACTCACGGCAAATTTATATTTTGTGTCAAAAAAACATGCCACTCGGATCTAAGAATGGATAGTAAGTAATTAGTTGAAACTTACGTATAATATACATATTAATTTCGGATATATTTTAATCTTTTATTGATGTAAGTTTATTTCAAAATAGTCTTCATAGAAAAAAAAAGAATAGATCTCAAACTGAATAATCGACTTACTATTCTCTATTGATTATCTTCTGTAAGTTTTAAAATTTCAAATTAATTCTAATTCATTTCGTTAAATGTAGTAGTTTTAATATTCAAAATATTTCAGTTAATACTATTCTTTCGTGACTATCACAAATATATGTATAATAACTGTAAAATCTTTTAAAATAAATCAATAATCTTACAGGATTGAAAACAGTTTATTCTATTTTATTTCAATCCTTTTACAAATTCTTGTCTGATAAATAGTTAAAAGTAAAAAATAATTTAAAATTTAATTTTCATAATGTTAGATTCAGCAAAACAATATTGAAAAAGGTCGTTTTTTATTTTTTATAAATGTCATATTACTACACATGACTGAATCATTTTATGTTCTTACTTCTTTATAAAAATCACAGTTTAATAAAAATAAAACTATTTTGAAAACATTTGAGAAATTAGTTCTTGTCAATATGAACACAATTTTAAGATCGTATATCACATCTAGACTTATTTTCTAGTTTCAAGTTTCTAGTAAAAAGATATCTTTGAAAAGATTTATAATTCTTCTTTTTATCTATTATATTGGATATTTAATATTATTATAATAACTATTGTTTTATATTTTCATAGAAAATAATAATAATATTTTCTATTTCTTAATAATTATGAGTATATCACAAGATTTCTTTTCTTCTTTTGAATATAACACGTATACTATTATATATCATCTAGGGAAACATTTTAACCATCTGTTACAATACTAGAATAAAAAATTGATAAAAAAAAATACTATATATATATATATATATATGTTTCTAAGAAGATTTATTCTTATTCTTCTAGTAATTCAAATCAGTATGAACTTGTAAGTATATTATTTTAGTTAAAATAAATATATTTCTTCTAGGTAAATTTTTCCATTATTTTTCTACAAAAACAATCATCAACTCCTCCATATTGACCATAGTCGAGGGTATGTCGAAAGAAACAAAAAAACAAGATATAAGTTTGTTTTTCTTCTTTTGATGTCAGGAAGAGAAAGAAACAGAAATTACAGGTATATTCTATACTTGTTTTCGTATATTTATGAATGTATTTTTTCCCTGACGCCGTATTCACTTTTTTTTCTCTCATCATCAACAAGACTATCAAATGAAGTAAATGCATTAATAATAATCATTTGTTGTTGTTCTTTCAATATAGCCTTGGTCCTGTCTCATGTTTTTTCTTCTTCTCCTTCTTCTTCAGACTTACGCTCGTGCTTTTTATATTCTTTTTTTTCCCTTGTTGAGAAAGAAGATTTATATTTTTATTTCCAGTCTTCATTCTTCATTTTATATTATAATTAAAGTCCTCGACAAGAAAATATATCTATTCATTTTTACATTAAATCTTTCAAAATATAATTTAATGTCATTATATCATATTATTTATTATTCATACAAAAACTAGGAATGCTGCATTTCCTTCTTTATCTTAATTTTTTTTACTTGTTTTTTCTTCTTCTTTCATATATATATATATATATATATTATCAGTCAATGTTTACTCTTTTTCTGTATAATTATCAATTAACTAATGTTCAACCTTGAATGTTGACACATACCATATGACACTTGAAATATTTTTCTTAATCAGAATTGTTTTAGTTCAGAATCTAGGATACTATATTTACTTCATCTGTCTCAAGTACGTAAACATTCATTTATTTGCTATTCAAAAAGAAATTGTTTTCTTTTCTTTCGTCTTACATTCTACATTTTTATATAATATAGGGAAAAACCAATTTAAAAAATATATTGTTAATGTTTTTCTATTAGAGAAACTATATGTCTACATTTGATAAATACTTTATGTGTTCTTAATTAAAAAAATTTAATATTTTTATTTAATTGAAATATTTATTATGTAATAAAAGTAAGTAATTCGTTATTTATATATGAACCTTTTAAAAATTATATTCTTTAGGAATCATTAAATGTTATATTTTTTTGTCTCATCACATTGAGTGTAGAAAGTTTAAGGAGAAAAAAAAAAGAAGATAATTTTTCAATTTTGTTTTTTCTTCTCTTATTTGCATCGATGTGTTTATATGAATTCTGACACGCAAGCATCATATATGTCTTATTTCAGATTAAAATATCATTTTGAATGCACACTATTCTTATTTCAACACATTGTCAAAACGACTATGTGCATTCAGATAGTTCTAACATATAATTTTATTCAAATCGTATCAATGTATTCACCAAAACGAAAGTTATCTTGCGAAGAACAATTAAATAATGATAAACAAGGCAATATATCATCAAATGTCAATAATAGTTATTCAGACGTCGATTCACCTGCACCTAGTTATGCACTTATTGAAGCAGATTCAAATGAATTAGAACAAATTATTGATTTACTTCGACAATTTTTTCCAAAAACAAAAATTCATGATTATAATCATTCATTACAAACAACTAAATTACGAGAACAACAACAACAAGTACAAACATCTATTACAAAAAATTTTGCGTCTCAATTTTTAATACCTTCATTCGATAGTGATAGTAATAATGAACAAGTGTCATCAAATTCAAATTCACAAGTACTTGAATAAAAATAAGAAAAATAAATTATTGTTATGTTTTATTTTGTTTTTTTAGATATTCAAAGGTAAAGTAAAAAATTATTTACAACGTCGTTATTTACAACAAACTGGTGAAAATCAATCTGATAAAGAATTCTTCACAAAATCTCCTAGTGATTATAGTCATTCATTGAATTTATCATCATCATCATCATCTTCAACAATTAATAAGCCTTCAAAAACTTTTAAATCTCATTCATTTGATTCATCATCAGTTTTACCAAAAGATCAAATTAAAATCGAACGTTCACCAAGTAAACGAGGTTTACTACAACATTATACAACTATTGATCTAGATGATACATCAAATGATGCACAAAAAATTAAATTTAGTATTGATCAACCTGATGATGATGATAATGAAGAGGAAATAGAAGACGAAGAAGATGAAGGAAAATCCTCTTCACATTCATCTACCAACAAACAAACAGATAATAAAAAAAATCATTTTCTTCTACCATATCATCATTCTTTTGAATATGAACAAAATCTAAAAACATCACCCTATCCTAGTGGAATGCAATTACCACTTACACCTTATTCAATATCAAGTGATCCTGGTCCATATCATTCACCATGGTTTAATACCCCAACTTCTCCTATGAATTTTCGTTTTCCTCAAACTCAAGAACAACTTCATGTTAATGCACAAGGAACTATTGCTCAATTATCATCATTAACAAAAATGTTATGTGATGAACCAAGTGTTTTTACACCCATTAGTCCAAGGTAAAAAAGTAATTTGTTAATATCATATTTATCTGCATTAATGGATTTCTTTTTTTTAATCTAGATTCAAAACAGAGAAATGTTATTCACATACTTCTAGAGATTCATCAGTAGTCCCGCCTTGTCAGATTTGTCGACAAGAATTTAATTCACATCAAATGTAAGTCTGCTTGGAAAAACATGATTAAGCGACATGCTTTTTTATTAATATATATAAATGTATTTTAGGTACTTAACTCATTATCGTACTCATCTTGAGGGTTCAAGTGAAAATAACCAATCAGATATTTTTGATTCCGATATAAATTGTGATCGTTCAAGTGATTTACGCAATTATGTATGTAAAATATGTTCAAAACGTTTTTCTCGGTAAAAATAAATAAATTTTTATTTTTATTTTTTATATAAAAAATAAAATTTTTGTTTAGAAGTGATATGTTAAATCGACATTTACGTTCACATTCTGGTATACGTCCTTATCGTTGTACAATGTGTAATACATATTTTTCACGTAGTGATCATTTATCAACTCATTTACGTACACATACAGGTGAAAAACCTTATACATGTCCACAATGTTCATATACAGCATGTCGACGAGATATGATAACAAGACATTTAAAAATTCATATGAAACAGCAACGATCAGAAAGAAAAAATGCTACATCATCCTTTGCTTTAAGTAACGAATTTTAATCATATAGACATATTAATGTGTATCAAGACAATAAACAAAAAATCGTTCGCTATTTCTAGTCAATGCTTTATTTTTATTATATAAGATGGTTATACCATTTTACTTGTTTTTTTCTTATTGTAAAATATTATATGTGAAAAAAAACAATTGGTTAAATGTAACTTATAAAATACATGAAATATATCTGACATATATATATGTTGTTTTCTTTGGATAAAGAATTATCATACAATTACATACGTGTAGAGATTATTTTATTGTGAAAATAAATTTCTTTGATTATATTTATTTATTTTTGATAAATAAAAATAAATGATTTCTATTTGCTTTTTTTTTCTTAAGAATTATCTAAATGGATTCAGGAGATTTTAGTATTATCTTTTGTATATGTATTTAATCTCGTATGGGTCAGGTTTGCCCGACCTGATTCGATCCTCGATTACTCACATATTTTTTGACAGATTAACACGAGTTTCTTTGACAATTATATTTTTTTGAATATAATCTATATAATTTCTCTGGATATGTAAAATAAATTAATGAATATATCATTTAGAATTACTATATTTATCTTATGTAAATGACGAGATCAGTCAATATTTTATGATCCGGTCTCAGAACATCGTGACCTAACCCCGAATCGAACACAGGCAAATATTTATTTGATTAAGAACTAAAATAACAATATGATATTTTACATAAGTTTATATTTCTATTTGACAATTAAGTAATTTCCGTTTGTGACATTTATTCATGTTAAATATTTTCTTTTTTTTTACGTGATTATTCTATTCCAAAACAGCTCAAATAATAGATTATTGATATAACCTTCAGAGTAATAAAAACGATGTACGCACTTTTTTTAATTTTATCTTCCTTAAAATTATCATCTGACTGTTATAATCTCCTTCTTTGGAATAAAAGCTACACAATATGTATTTTAATTTCTTATACAATTTTAAGTAGAAATGAAAGTTAACTTATTTGACAAGGCCTATTCAAAACTATAAATAATAGATAAAGTACGTAAAATGAAGATGAGAACAAGAATGTATCTAAGACTCTGTATGAATAGAATATGAGAATAGATATTTAAAAGAGTAAGACGCAGGGGTGCAAAATATGCCCTTCTACGCGAACACATGTTCAGAGAAATTTTTGTTATTGGGAAATAATAAAGAACTTTTTTTGGATGAAAATATTATTTTATACGTAAATGATCTGATATGTTCATTAGGATAGAGTATATTTCAAACATATCACAGTCTCTTCTCTCTTTTTATTTCTTAGATAAAAATATTTAAAAAAAAACATTTTTTTTACTTGAATACTGAGGGGAAATTTTTCGTTTTTATGGAAAATTCTGCACCCCTGGGAAGACGAATGACTATGGCGATATCTCCCAGTTCTACTCTCATGTATGGAAATCGATTCAGTTCACTGAGTTGTTCTAACAGTTTCTTTTATATATTTAACCTAATTGATCTTTATACTCATATATTCTTATTTATCTAATCTATGTCAACTAGCTCCATCTTAGATAAATTCAAAATTTTAAAGTTTACTTCAAAATACTTAAGTAATGTGTTGTGTTATATGATTGAACGTAGTATTAGACAAGTATGGTTCATACTTTATTATGATTCGTTCTTTTCAACTATTCATATTTGGTGATATGTTAAAGAATGAACCGATCGATATACTTGTTGATTGTTGACCTTTGTACGAAATATATTTAATCATTGTGTTCTCTTTTCTGTATATAAACGCGTGTGATATATACAGATTTGTTATTAGTATAAAATTAGTATATTATTCTATGTTATTGTCGAGTAAAAGTTTATATCGTTTTCATAAACGTACATGGAAAAGTGAACCAGCATCATCACTTGGTAAAGCTGTACGAAAAGATTGACAATAGAAATTAATATTTTTGACTCGACTTCTCTTTTTCCAATGAAAGATATATCAGTTTCCACGTCGAATATCCCAATTAACAGGTATAATTTTTCATTTTGAAATATATATATATATATAAAATAACAAATTTTATTTTTAAAAGCAATTCAACCAATCATCCTCCATGTAATATCAATAATATATCAAGTTCTTTATCACATATGGTTGAACCATATACACCTTCAGCTGGCTGGGGCGTTTATGGTGATCAACAAGCATGGGCTGATTTACATCTTCGTTAATTAATCTAATTCTCTTTAAAAAAGAATTTTTTTTGTGTGTTTTGTTCATGAAATGATATAGTGTAAATCATTATTCAATTAATCTTAATTTCAATAAATAGAAATCATTGTAGATAAAATTATTTGCTCTTTTCATTTCATCTATAGTATATGATCAACAAAAAATGAGTTGCTGTAATATTTTTTATCGTCTCATTATTTAGTTGTTTCACGTGTTGAATTTTTTTAGTGTATTACGCATATTAAAAAAAATATAAGAACGCAGGTATTATATATTAATACAGTTGAAGAAGTATTAAAAGTTTCAGATAATGGGAAATCATAATGATTTATGAGATTTTTAGAATTCACATTCTTACCAGCAGTTATAAATTAGTTAATTAATATGTTCTCTATAATTCATGATTATCTATCAAGATCTGCTTCCTCCTCTCGATTCCTGATACAATACTAATTCACCTAGATTGTGTACACACCCTAGAGCTATGATTCGTTACAAAAATTTCTCGAGTAATTTGATCACATCTAAGAAACTAATTCTTATAGTGCTGAATACTCTCGACATTGGTGCAATCTTACTAACTGTTAAAATTTCTCAGAATCTAAATACGCGAGATGAAGATGAAACCCACTCGTTTTTTTGTTAATAATATCTTTTATTTGACGTTACTAGGAGAATCTATGTCATAAAAAAATAATTTATTTATCTAAAATAATATTTTCACATAAAAGAATTCCTTGTTTTAATTGTTCTTCAATATTATTTCTATCAAATTTTTTTCTTAACCAATATAAATAAGCTTTATTCATATGAATTTTTTTATAATATGGTTGTAGAATTAATTTATCAAGTAAATTACTATTAAATTGATCATTATTTAATATTAAGGTTGATTGTAATTGTTGACGATTTTTTTCTAATGAATTCCATATATCTAAATTATTTAATTGTATATCATTGTTTGTTAATGATGGTTTTCCACGTTGAATTAATAATGATGCATAAGAAGATTGATTAAAAAATTTTTTTAAATTATTCGTTATCATAATAAGAACTTTTTTATTTGGATTATTAAGTAAATGTTGAATGAATTGAAGAAATTCGATACAAACGCTTTTATTCACTCGTTTTTTATCTTCACGTAAAGATGAAACAGGAAGAAATATTGAAGATATTTGTATAGCAATAATTTTATGATAATTTTCGTAATCATCTATTTTATCAATATTATTAAAAATAATTCCATTTACAAATGAATATATATGAGAAAAAATTAAATTTAAATTAAAACAAGTTAATGATGATGTATATAATTGATTTGTTGAACTAGCATGAATAATAAATGTAAGAATTTGTTGAAATGGATGTTTTTGATTCAAATATATAAGTAGTGATGTTATAGATGGAAGATTATCAATATGTAACTTATTTGTTGTTGCAATATCAATAAGAATAAGAAAACCAAGAAGATCATTATGAGATAAAGAATCGATTTTTAAAGAATTATTAATGATTTTTTCATAATCATTTACTGATGAAGAAAATAATTGATTGAATGTACATAATGATGCTATATGAGGATAATTTGATGATAATGTAGAGTTTAAAATATTATAAAGATGTGTACCAATTTTATCCGATGATGAGTCAAATGATAGAATTAATAGAGACATTTATCTACAAGATATACATAAGTTAATATAATTTACTGATTGTGTATAACGGAGAGAAGATTAACGACAGTCTTGATTAAACTCAAACCATATATTCTAAGTCGGTTAAGCCAGAAGAAATATTTTCTCTCAGCTTAGTATGGATGTATATCATTGCTGAGAAATTCTAGTCAAAGAAAAAAATAAATGTAATTAGAGTTTAAAAATTCTGAATGCGACAAATTCGAACTGATATAGTAAGAGTTATTCTGACATAGATCTCATTCAACATTATAGTATAATCTTTAGGTTTAAATCCCACATTTCTTTAGTTAATTTAAGTTCAAACTCTTCGAAAATGTTTAAGTTTTACTTTACTACTGTGAACTGAATTATAAATATAATTGAAAAGAAATAGCGTAATTTTGTTCAACTATTTTCATTGGTTTTATTTTTTAAACTAATCATTCAAAAATACGAAGAGGTCGTTTGAAGACAGAAAATGACAATTGAAATAGAATTTCAATGTGAACACCGATTCTTTTGTATATATTCGATTGTTTTCAGTCATAGAAAAGTTTTTCATAATTTCAAATTAATTCCTTATCATTTAGATTTAATAATAGAGCAAAATAAACTTTACAATTTTTCTAATGATATAACAAAAAAGAAACAAGATATACATCATATTTAATTCACTAGTCTATTTTTTTGCAATAATAAGGTCAATGATGACTCAACTAAAGGGTGCTACGTACATATTTACATAGCGACACGTATACAAATCTAGTACCGTATTCGTCATACGACTGTGAGAAAGATAAGAAAATCTTTTATTGCCTGTGTATGTTGGTAAAAAAAAATGATATTTAAAGGATTTTTGCAAACAAGCAATTTCGGTTATCTATGCAACTGTAATATTTGTTTGTCCATTGATTCAAGAATCTCTTTACTTAGAAAGAAATGATGTCATACATATTCTGGAAGTTTACAAATATGTATTTTATGATTGAAACGATGAGTAAGAAGTTTCATCAATTATTTCCAACATTTGTCATAGACATTCTTTACTTTATATATTTACAATTTATTTAAAAATAAAAATGCTATCAAAATCTATAGAAATCATGTCTTTTACATCTAGGTAAAAACCTAGATAAGAATGTTTATTTCGTATATTGTCATCAGACACAACAACAAGGTATGGTAATAATATTTTTTTCCTTTTGTTTATGTCTCTGCGTATTAGAATATTAATCATTATGTATATTAACATAAAATACATTCTCTTCGAGAACGTTTTTTGAGTGATAATCGAGCTGCATGTACAAACAAATCTTGAATACCTTCCCGGGTTTTTGCTGAACATTCCATATATGCATCTGCTTTAATTTGTATTGCTAATTGTCCTCCAATATCAGTTGTCACTGGTTTTTCACCTTCTTGTTTCAATCTAGCAATAACGTGTGGATCTGTTCTTAAATCTTTCTTACAAGCTACTAATATTACAGGACATTGATTACAAAAATATCGAACTTCTTGTATCCATCTATCAGTAATACTTGTAACAGATACTGGATTATCAACACTAAAACATATCAGAATAATATTTGTATCAGGATAAGATAGAGCACGGAAGTTTTCATAATGTTCAATACCAGTTATATCATAAAATGTAAAATCGATCTTTAAATAAAAAGTCTATCGTTAGTCCATTCAAGCAAAATTTACTTACAATTTTTTCATCTATTTGAACATTTTTTTGATATTTATTAAGCATAGTAATACCAGAAGTGGAAACAAACTGATCATCTTTAAACGTAAATAAAAGACATGTTTTACCACACATTGCATCACCAACAATAACTAATTTTCTTCTTTCTTGTAGGACTCCATATTTCTGACTTGCCATCTAGAAATAGATATTAAAAAACTATTCGCTCGATGATTATCTACATTTCATATGATATTCATAATTTGCCATGATGTGGAAGAGTACATGACGAATAGTTTGTTAATATATATATGAAGAATATTTATTCTTAGAAATGTATATTAATCAACAAAAAGGAAAAAGTTGACGCATCAAAGCTTGGAAATCATGAGTTTTTATGTCCAGGTAGGAATGGAGTACTAGACTGATATGATAACAATTTCTATCATAGGAAGATACCCCTCGATTTTTCTTTGACTTGCTTTGATAACGTAAAACTTCGACGATTTCCAACTAATAATTTCAAAAGTAGATATACAACATCAATTCTAATTCTCTTACTAAACCCTAGATTTTTGTTTGATTATTATTCAATCGATTAATCAGAACAAATTCAACGACTTTTATTACATATATTGTCATAATCAAAGAAAATTCTGCCTATAAATGTGTTATTTCATCAGTTATCATTGGAAGATCTTAGACTAAAGTCGTAGCTAATAACTGATTGTTTCCGAAACAACACTTATACATATATATGACACTGTGATATCATATTAATCATGGATAGAATTATTCCATATTGTGATTGTACGAGAAATTTAGTTTTTTGATTAATAAATAAAAATAGAAAACATAAAATAAATAAAAAATTTTAACTAATGTAACACACAACGCCCGCTTGATTCTCTTCGAGAACGTTTTTTAAGTGATAATCGAGCTGCATGTACAAACAAATCTTGAACACCTTCGCGAGTTTTTGCTGAACATTCTATATATGCATCTGCTTTCATTTGTGCTGCTAATTGTTTTCCAACTTCATTCGTCACTGGTTTTTCACCTTCTTGTTTCAATTTAGCGATAACTTGTGGGTCAGTTCGTAAATCTTTCTTACAAGCTACTAATATTACAGGACATTGACCACAAAAATGTCGAACTTCAGGTATCCATTTTTCAATAACACTTGTTGCTGATACTGGACTATCAACACTAAAACATATTAGAACAATATTTGTATCAGGATATGATAATGGACGAAGACGATCATAATCTTCTTGACCAGCTGTATCGAATAGAGCTAAATCAATCTTTAAATAAAAATTATATTATAATAATATATAAAAATACAACTTATACTGACAGTTGCTCCATCAACTTGAATATCAGCTACATATGTATCAAAGATAGTTGCATCATGTGATGGAATAAATCGATCATCTTTAAAAGCAAATAAAAGACATGTTTTACCACACATTCCATCACCAACAATAACTAATTTTTTGCTTTTTCGAATACTTCCATTTGTTTTCGGTGCCATCTAGAATTATGAATAAATAAGATTCAAAAAAATTGACTTTCTGTTTTTTTTTGCTAGCTATTGTTGTTATTATATTTATTTAATATAATAAATGGCATTGCCAACTGAAAGGTAAGAGAAAATAAAACCTTCATGTATATGTGTGATTATGAAATAACGTCATTTGTTTTTTCGATAACATGATCAAAAGAAAGAAGAAGAAGAAGAAAAAGAAATAAACGAAAAAAAAAGCCGAGAGTCATATTTATTACAATCAAGTTTTTTTTTTCTTCTTTTTCTTCTTCTTCAAATACTTGACTACAAGGGACAATTGTGATTCAATAGAGAAATTCTTTGATGTGTATGAAATATCAAAAAAAAAAACACGTGCATAATTTTATTTTTACATATTATTGTAATGAAAAAGAGTTTCATTTTTCTAGGATCATTTATTTGTTTCTTAGAAAAAAGAAGTATTCAAAAAATTGATTAATTTCGATGATTTTTTTCGCTATGTTAAATTCACGAATATTAATTTATTATTATTATTATATGAATCGTTGGAATTCTTAAAATAATTTCTATATAGTCGACATATTTATTGATGAAATTCAAGATCAAATCGCATATCAATGAATGAAATTGATTTATTTCTAAAAAAGATTTCAAATAGCAAAAAAAAACACAAGAATGTAGTATTTATTTCGATACATTTTATAGTTTACAATAAAATACAAAATAATACCAAATAATGATTCATCGATTGAGAACAATAAAAAAGAATTACTCATATAAAACGATAAAATAATAACAAGGTAATATTATAAAGTAGAATGTACAACCTTCAATGGATTCTATATTTTTCGTATGTCCATTACATGATCATGTTAAATAATCAATATATGAGAATTTTTCAGACTAAATGCAAGAAAATGTTAAAATAATTTTTACAAAATTAAGAAATCCTCCCACTCATCTTGGTTGTATGAATCAAAACACTAATAACGATAACTACAAACATTTATAAACATTCTTTTTTATCAATAAATATTTTGATATATAATATAGACAATTAGATTATTTGGTTATCGTATTCCGGTAATAAGGAATAGCTTTTATAAAAATGTCATAATCATTAGTAAACAAGAAAACATTCTCAAGTTCAGACACTACGATTTAATGTATTCCAGGTAGATTAGTACTACGTGGCATTGATCTATATAATCATAAGGTGAGAATTATAAAAATAGTAGGATTAGTTTTGAATACTTAGATCTTAATATTTCGTCTTTTTTAGAACTACGATAATGAGAATCCATTATTTTTTCTAAGGGAATTATCTGTAAAGAACATTTAAAAAAAGTGACAGATAACGGCATAGCTTCATACTACATATTGATGAGAAGGTGAATCAGACAAAATCGAAGATTGTGAGACAGCAAGAAAAATTTTACTATTATTTTCTCTTCATCTGTTTTTTAAGTCTGATATTTCCTCCTATACAAGCTGATGAAATCGAGACATATTCAATATTTATATGCATATAACGACAAACCTGGAGAGATCCTTAGTTAAGTGTATTATCTTTTTTCGCTCTGTGAAAAAATAAAATTTTTTTTTGTTGAGGTTAATAATATTATTCGTATGGATTTGAACTGTGAACATGCCTCTATTCTTGACAAAAAGAAGTGATGAAAACAAAACAACTTGTGTTTTGTGTATCGTTTATGAATAATCTATAAATTAAAAAAATAAATTTTGATGACGAACTGCTATTAATCAATGATATGTCGATAGGATTTTCGTTAATATTTATTCAAAACGAAATGCGTATAGACAATCAATCGATCTTTGAGCAAAGTTATAATCTAAATCTAAATAAAAAAAAAGTAAAATCTCATACTTATACCTGATTTCGATAATCATAAGTTATTCTTTACAATTTTTGTAAAATATTCGAGTAAATGTCTGCAATTGGAGAGATGATTATTCTATTACTGTTAGATGTCGAATAAAAAAATGTTGATGACAAATGACATATTTTACCTATAATTTTATTGATGAGTGTCGTGAGAAAGAGAACATGAATAAGAATAAATACTAAAGGAAAGCCGACAGTTCAATGGCAAGAATTCAGGTGGTAATAGTAATGGTATTATATACTAAGTTAAGACGTAAAAGAACAGATGCTAACCAGATGATAAATGACATATTGAATTATAAGACTTATGATTTGTTCCTCATGACTAAATTTACTTTCTTGTCATACATGATTTTTTTCTTCTCTTTTTCTTTTATATATCATTATAATCAAAAAGAGAAGAGAGAAAAAAAAAGAAAGAAATAGTTTTTATCATCATTTTCTCATTTCGTATAGGATGAAAGGAAATGTTAGTTGATAATGATTTGTTGATAGGTTTGTATTATGTTCTGTTCATTGAAGCTAAACAAGTTTTGAATACAATTCATAGACAGAATAGCACTTAGAATTGTAAAATGATTTTTAACGACTATGGGGGTGTTTTGTTTAGATTTTATTCAATAAAAATTAATTTGGTATCAATAATAGATGAAGAGAGAGAAAAGAAAAGAAAAATTATTCTTCTCATCGAAAACTAAATAAAAAGACTGTCATAGTAGTATTAAAACCACTCCTTTCTCTCAAGATGATCCTATTCATTCTTTTTTCTTCATTAAAAATTAAAATATATATTTTCAATAAAACCTAAACATTAAATCTCTAATATGAATCAGATGTGAATTTACAAAAAAAACTTCTCACGTACATTCTGTATTTTTACGAAATAAAACTACACAGCATGATTTCCATTTCTATCGAAATTCAGCTGTGAATTGAAGTGTTTAGTATAATTCTATTGATATTTTTCGTTGTAGAAAATTATTTAATATAGTATTTTCAAAAAACTCCAGAGATTCTTCACTGAAGTTAACTCTTAGAAGTGCGGTTTACAATCTTTTCTAATATCGTCTTACATATATTTGATTGTTTGTATTGAAAAATCATAACTTTTCTTCAGATATTATGAAGTTTGTAACAATCGTGACAGAATTCTATTTTTAACGCTATATCATCAGAAACTGATTGTAGCAACAAAACTTTCATAGACTTCGGTAATATAGTTTTATTTGCTAAATAATCTTTCTCTCATATTTTATCCATAAAATTCAATAGACAGAGTATCTCATTGACTCTTCAAGTTGTCAGTTGAAATTGCTTTATATACTTAATATTGTTTAGAGAAAAAATCAAAAGTCTATTGCTCTTATCGTTTGCAGCAATCCTATAATGTTATCTATTGGTATATATACATAAAAAGAGTATTGTTTTCAAAACACTTTAGTGTATTAAACTCAATAATTTTTTGATTAAAAACATATTATCCACTTTAACTAAAAGATAATTCAGAATCAAAAAGATTTCACTTTCGATAAGAAAATTGAAAAAGATGAACTGAAGTAAATGCAAACGAAGGATTACACGATCAAGTTCATAATCACATCTAGATCATCAGCATCAACGCTTTTATTTTCCGTAGTCCAATTCGTGATTATCGCGATACAAAATGGCAACTTTTCATGCGTCGAGGGAAGTATATAAAACATACACACGCGAAGGAATACAGAAATACAATTGAAATCAATGTTATTTACAAGAAGAAAAAAAAATAAGCGCGTTTGGTTGATTGCATAATTCTTTTGTTGTTTTCCTTGAAATAGAAGTCAAAATAATGATTTCATTTTCACAAATCGTTATCTATAAAATTATTGAATTATGACTAAATGGGAACATACAATTCGATTATTTGAAGGACAAGATTTTGAATCAATTCGATTAAAATGTCTTAAAGAAAATAAACTTTTTGAAGATCCAATTTTTCCAGCACAATATGAATCTTTATCAAATAATTATCAAACATTAATTCCTAATTGGCATGATATTATATGGAAACGTCCAGGTGAAATTGTTGAAGATCCTCAAATGATTGTTAATGGAATAAAACGTACAGATCCAAATCAAGGCGATTTAGGTAAATCATCTTTTTTTCTTCCAAAAAAAAATTTCCTATTTATTTGATTTCTTCTCTAGGTAATTGTTGGTTTATAGCAGCTATGAGTGCATTAACAAAGAATACTACTGTACTTAAACGAATTATTCCATCTGATCAATCTTTTCATAAAGATTGGTATGGTGAGTAGATGAGAAATTTAGATATATTTTTTCAGCTGGTATATTTCATTTTCGTTTTTGGCGTTATCAACAATGGTATGATATTGTTATTGATGATCGTTTACCATATTTAATAAAACAAAAACGTTTATGGAGTGCAAGAAATCTTTATGAAATAAATGAATTTTGGGTTTCATTATTTGAAAAAGCTTATGCTAAATTAAATGGTAATTATACAAATTTAGGTGGTGGTTTACCAGTTAATGCTTTAACAGATTTTACTGGTGGTATTGAACAACGTTTTGAATTTAAATCAAATTTATCTTTAACACATTTAAATGAAAATGATTTATTTGATTTTATTAAATCATGTATTGATTATGGTTCACTTATTGCTTGTTCAATTAATGCTGATAAAAGAAAAATCGAGAGTGTTTTATCGAATGGTCTTGTAATTGGTCATACTTATTCAATAACAAATTATTATATTTTACCAATAAAATATGATAATAACTTGAATGATCGAAATTTAATTCGTTTACGTAATCCATGGGGTAATGATATTGAATGGAATGGAAAATGGTCAGATGCTGATCCTATTTGGAATTTATTTGATGAAAAAACACGAAAAAGATTAAGTATACAAAGAAAACATGATGGAGAATTTTGGATGTCATTTAAAGATTTTTATAAAGAATTTGATGTTATGGAAGTTTGTCATATTAGTCCAGATACATATGATGGTAAAATATGAATATTAGAATTAGTCAATTTAATTTAAATCTTTTCCGCTAATGTTTTATCTAGCGGATGGGCTAATTGGGCGGCGCTCACCCAGTATTCTCATTTTGCCTACCCGATAGTTCGATTCACACATCTGAAAGAAGAAATTCGGATATAACACTGATATCCACCATCTATAAAATCATAAAAAATATCTTGTTCACGATAAAATTATGTTTTTTTAAGAATTTGGATTAACTATACAAGATTCTAAACATCATTGGCGTATGTGGTATGCACTTGGATCATGGCGTGCTGGTGAGAATAGTGGTGGTTCATGTGCAACATTAGGTTGTCGTCATGGTTGTTATTATTGGCGTAATCCACAATTTATTATTGAATTAACATTAAATCGTACATTTAATTCAAATAGATTATGTATGATGATAATTGCATTAATGCAAAAACCAATAACGAATAATTCTAATGAACAATATATACAAATTCGACTTTTCCGAATTAAACCAAACGTTAAAATATGTGAGAAAAAAATTTATAAACCAGATGAAGTCGAACGAATTGGTAAGCTTAAATTATTATCAGAGTAAAGTTTTAATTTACTGTTTGTTTTCTTTTTGAAAAGCATCAACAGGACCTTATGGTAAAATTTAATCTTTATTATTTGTTTAATTATATAACTAATTTTTTTTGTCGATAAAAGTTAATCGTCGTGAAGTTTCTTTACTATTGAAAACAACAACAGGTGCTTATCTAATTGTTCCTAGTATGGCCGATGTCGATCAAAATTGTGATTTTTTACTACGAATTTTTTCTCAAGATACTACCATCGGTCGAACATTTGTTAATATATTTGCTAATGATAATCATGAAGATCAAATACATCAAAATCTAGATCAAAAGCATTCAGTACCTGAGCAAACACCTAGTAAATTATAAAATATTGTTTTTTAATTCAATATATTTCATTTCATTTAGTGAATGTTTTCTTTGAAAACAACATATTCAAGAGATTATTTACATTTGATAAATTTTGATAGAAAATATCTTGATATTATTTCAGTTTTAATTGTACTTTAAAAACAATTTATCTAACATATATATGTATTAATTGATTATAACTTGAATAGATTAATATCCAAAAAAATGAATATATATACAGATTGAGTTTTGCATTGATCCGACTGAGATAATAATCTTTATATACAAAGCAGAAAATTTTTTGCTTTTGAGATATTGTTAAGATGTCGCAGTATTTTGTATATTAGTTCTTTACAATTCCATTTTCATTATATCTTCAATTACTATATGATACAATAGAATAATATCATACTTATAAACTCTGCTATAAATATATGCACACTGTTATAAGTTCTTTGTCTAAAACTAAAAATACTGTCTTCAGAATATTTACCAAAAATGTCTGAGTATTAAGCTTTTAATCCATAACATAATCTATTCACTCTTTTGTCGCTTTATTTAGCCTATTGAAAAGGAGATAAGGCGATTACAACTAAATAAAAGAATATTTACCAAGTATTTTACAAAGACTAAAAATAAAGCAAACGACAATGTCTTTTGTTATTAATCTTTAAAAACCTTGTCAATTCATATTTTAATCTGAGTATTTACATCTCACGTAAAAGATAAGAAAGACGACTCGATCATGATGTTTTTTTGATCCTTGTACTCCCAAGAATATTTTTTTTACACTTCACTGATAATATATAGTTTTACATCAGTATTTTGTATTAAATATAGTATCAATATATCCAATTAAGACAAAATTAAACTCACCTCTCCTTGTTGTATTTTCAAATTTTTGAATATGGATCAAAAATGACCCATTTGGAATTATTAGAGTTAAATATTTACTATCAGGTAGTAAAAGATTAGTTATACTCAAACACCAGTGATATCTGAAAATCTCTCTTCAAGTCAGACTTTTGGTCCTTGACATCTACATACATTATTCTATATGTAAAAACAGCTTGTGAATCGATTATATAAATAATCTGCATAATTCATATCGATCTTTTAAAACTATTGATAATATAATTATAATAAGTATTCTTCATATGACAATATATGTATATTCAATTCTATTCATTTATGTATTAGGTTTTCACAAACCAAATTTGTTCGTTCTTTACATTGATGAACTTATAAGTTTAGAATAATGCAATGCCATTTTTCCGTAATAAATTTATTCGATAATAAGGAAAATGCTGCCTGCCGTTCTAAATACCTTTTATTTCCGACGCGTATAAGAAAAAGCGATGATGTCCTTGAGACATAAAATAAAAATAATTATTTGCATGCTGTTTATTCATTTTAAATCACATCATATTCAATTAATGTTAATGCAATCAGACTTATAAAAATTCTTTTAATATACATATGGAATAGATTTTATCATTTAGTGATTTTATATAATATAAATTTTTTATATGTTCAGACATAAAGTTTGTTTATTGTTATTCATTGTATTTTGAAGGTCATTCATGGTATATTATGAGAGAGAAAAGGAAATTAAATGCATCGTTTGATACAAGAAAAACGGAAGTCATGCCAGATATATAATTTTCAAAATGAAAAAAAGAAAACGTTGTAGACTTTTAACGTAAAAATCTATAATAACAATATACTATGAAATATATAGATTAGATTAAATTTCTCCCTGGACAAACATTAAAAGAGTTTTGTCATTCTCTCAAGAGATTGATGAAAACGTTAATATTTATAGGATAGTAAATATGTAAGTGTTGCTATTAATAAAGACGTATAAAAAACGAAGAAAAAAAAACAATAATTTAGAAAAGAAAAAAACGTTTTTGTTGATGGTTTATAAAACAAAGAATGTTTGTTATCATATTGATTGATTCAAGGTTGTTTAATTGTCTGAAATAAAGAACATATAATTAAGTAATAAATGTACTGTTGTTTTTACAGATCGTACATATGAGCATTTGCCCTGAGTCAACGAGTTTATTTATGTATGTCTACTTCGTGTAATTTTGTTCTCGTCTTTTTTCTATATATCATAAGAAGAAAAAAAGAAGAAGAAGAAGAAGAAAAGAAGCGAGAAATACCATTCCTTTTTTTCTTGCTTATGTAATTATTTTTGATTTATTTTTGTTTTTGTTATTAGTCGTGAGAATATTAGAAGAAGAAGATAGAGGTACGTGTAAGAATTAAAATAGGATTCTGCCTTTTTTTTCTCCTACCGTTTTTCTTCTTATCCCTAAATTCATAAAATATTTTGATTGAGAGAAGTACATACTCAGCTGACTTTATATGACTAGTTTTGTAGCAATAAAAATGATTTATTGTTATTAAAAATGAAAGATCTAGAAGAAAGACATTGTTTCAGACCCTTTTTCTTTAACGAAGAATATTCATTTCTATTGTTCTTGAAAAAGAAGCATGTCTGTCGACAGATATCTATATTATCGAACTTTTTTTTTCGATTATATTAAATATATGTATTCTATTTTATGAGATGATTTGTAGGCGATATGACTAATATATTGATGTACGACAATATTTTTTTTGTCGTTCGAAGTGTAAGGAAGCCATATTATTACCATTAGTAAACAAATTAAAAAAATATATAAATCATTTAAAAGGCTTTTTTCTGCTTCGTTATTTGTTTTTTGTTCTCTTTTATATATTCTTTTTAAGATTGTATAAATAAAATTTAGAAAACTGTTAATGTTTAGATACAATAATCGAATAGTAAAGAATTATTGATTGACGTCAATACTAGTTCAAGATTCTGGCTTCTATACTGATTTGTAGTTCAAAGTATGTAGAATAATTTTGACAAAAAAAAATAATATAATAAATTTATTCTTAGAATTCTATTATGTCATATATTTCTCTTATATTTATTATTGATATCAAAACTTGAATATCAATGCTTAGGTCTAACACCGACTACTAATAATGTTGAATGTCATCCAGTAGACATTCAACTATATAGTTGGTCAGGACCTAGTTTTGAATCAGGTGAATGTTGGCATCAAGGACATCGTTTTATAAACGGTGCTATATGGGGTCGTTCAGATGTACCAGGTTCTCCTTATTGTGTTTGTGAACAAGGAAAAGTACGTATTTTTTATAGTCAACAACAACATCTCGCTGTTGATACATTAACTATTCTTCGACCAACTAACAATGCATCACCAACAGCCAAAGATTTAGCTAAATGGCCTATTTCCAATTATCCCGTGGTACGACAACGTACAGTAATTTGTTCAGCAAATCGATTAGGTATACGAGTGAGATCAAGAGATAGATGTATTGGTTGTAAATGTTCTACGAATGGTCATTGGTTATGTAAAAAACCACCCCCACTAAATAAAAATCAAACAAACAATCATCAAACATCCAGGTATTGATTGTATTAAAAAATTGTATAAAAAATTGTTTGTTTTTTTTCTTTTTTAATTAGAAATAATCCTTATTCATATTCTGACACATATCAAGTTGATCTTCATATTACAACTGTACGTTTACAAGCTGAATGTCCATTAGGTACTACACCTAAATTTTGTATATTAATTGAACGTTTATTAACATCAAATATAACTAAACCATTCAGTCGTTATATTGAAATACCTCGTGAAACATTATGGATTGATCGTAATTCATGTACTCAATGTACATGTACATTAGATGGCTATTTACAATGTGAAATTCTTCATGAAACATGTAGTCGTCCATGTCTTTTACGTAAAACACGTCCAGTTTCAGTTATATATTATTTTCCATCTGGTTCAAAATGGTTAACACCACCACATAGCAGATGTCGTTCATGTACGTGTATTAATGGGCAAAGAAAATGTTTTAATTGTGATAAAATTCTAAAAATCGATGTTATTACTAATAATAACCAGCAGCAAACATCAGCAATTGGCGAATTTAGATTATTACCAATATTAAAGAAAACAAAACCATGTATACTTCAAACTAGTATTAGTTCTCATCGATTAATATTTCCAGGACAACAGATATGGTATGAACAACGTTGCTATTTTTGTTCAAAAACTGATGGACGATTGATAACATGTTAATTCGTATTTATTTCTCTATATCCTAATATTGTCCCCTATTGGCCTAGTCACTTGTATTCTTTTTTTTTTGTGTTTTGTTTAGATTAGTGTACATGTATTTTTATGTTGTGTGTATTGTAAAAATATAAAGAAAAAGAAAAAAATTCTATAGGCTAAAATTGATTATATCTTTAAAGAATCATTATAAACAGAATGATCAAAATATGTTTCAACAAATTCAATAGCTATTTAATGCGTGGAATACCATAGTGGAACAATGAAATAGTCAAAGAGTATTTGATTAAGACAATATGAATTTATCTGAAAATAGTGAATTAAATACAAGATCATGTTTAGATATATGGGCAGAATAGGACATTAACTGTCTTCATTTGATTTTAATTTTTTTGCACGGATGTTTCTCTTGAATAAATTCTTTTAGCGTAGACATATGTAAAAAATCAAAAACATTGACGGTAGACTTTTGAGTTCGAGTAACATCTATGGTAAAATTATTCTTATAGAAACCGCCCCCTCAGAAAATCCATCAAGTCCCATGACAAAAATGCTTGTCTTATCATTATCTCAAGGTGCCGAGGAAGGATTCGTATCTTTTCAAATTCTTCTCATATTTCCCATTCAGTTACAAGAGCAGTTTTTCTTCTGCATACTCGTACTCCATCACGTCGCCAACAAACGATTTTACCTAGAAGAAAAATCTATCAAATTTATTTTTTTTCAATCAGGACTATAGAAATTCAGAGAACTATTATGAATAAACGAGAATGAAAGAAGAGTATAAGCCATATTGTGTTCAGATCCGAAAAAAAATTTTATGTATGATTTAAATATTCTCATATATATATTTTTCAATATTATAATGATTGGTTTATTATTTATTAAGATAAAATTTAAGGATTACAAGGATCACTCTATATAGTTAATGTTGATTGTCACTTTTGATACATAATGTATTACCATTGTTTAACCTATAAATTCTCTTGGATCACCTCTGAAGATTGCTTTTTTTTGAAGTCGTCCAAATGTTATTAAATCATCATTGGATTTATCTTCATAAACTTCTAAAGGTTGAAATTCAGTTGTTAATATTTTCGAATCACCATGTCGATAAGCATGATTTACATCATTATTTGAATAAAACATATTTTTATTTTGTTCATTATCGGTTGATCGATAAATATATTTTGCACTAGAATAATTTATACAAAATAAAAACAAAAAACATTTTACTAAAATAAAACTCACTTGATGAGAATAACATTGAATGCTAACAAACATAAACTATAGTAATAAATTTGCATGATACTGATCTTCAAGTGTTCTATGTGACAAGTGAAGATATACAAAAAAAATGCAAAATCTGTTTGAATCTTTTTCTTTATAAATACTTTGGATGTAAATCTCTGCACGAAATATTACGTGTCAAACAAATATCAATAAGAAAAACGATTATGTAAACAATAACGTTGGCTTCAAGCGATGCTAAAAACTGTCTAAATACGTTTTCATTCAATGAACAAGAAGATTAATATGATAATCACATATTACAATGCACGACATCATGCCGATTTAATTCGGTTAATATTCATATATTGTTATATGATGTTCAATATCATTTTTGTTTTATTTTGTTACAATCAATTTTATTATAAGTTACATCATATTTTATTTCATATATATTCAATCTTGAGGGTATCAATGAACTACGTTTATTAATGGGTATAAAAACACAAAAGTTCTCGTGGATTATTACTATTTTCAATCGTCATAGTTAATTGCATACACATAAATGCTATTGTACATAACTTTTCTCAGAAAAAAAAACATTCAGATGAATAGCAAGGAGATAAAACAAGTTGGAAATATTGTCAAGTGACTCAAAGTTAATAAAAACTAGGAAGTTGTTTTTGAAAATAATATATAAGAAAGCAAACAATTAAGAGACGTTTTTCGGCGAAATAATATACTAAAATCTTTCCAAGTGTAGTCTGTTTAATAAGAAAGAGAATATTTCATATCTACACCTTTAGTTTCTATTCTGTTATTTCTTTATTTATCATCTATCTTACTGCATACGTATTCACTACCATATTTTTATCTTTATCATCTTACTCAAAAAGGTAACACTGTAAGATAAAATGGAACGTTTGCATCTTAAATATTTGCATATCACGTTCAAATTTAATTTTACAGAACGAACTTATGTATATGATCTGACACAATATACTAAACGACAACATCTTTTTGATACGATTTGTAAAGATGCTGAATGTTTTGTTCATCGAGTATGTGGACGAACATCAGCAAAAACTATGGACCAATATAGTTTATTACTTTATCGTCTAGACGAACGTACTCCTTATTTACATTTGATAACTGATTATTATGGATTAGAAAATGAATGTATTATTCAAATTGTTCCTATTGAATGTTCAAAAAGTGAACGAACTATCGAACCGATATCTTCTCATATAACTCCTCAACCATGTGGTAAATGTCAAAAATTTATTGCAGGTGAAATGCTTGATAATGCACATTGGTGTAAAAAATGTCGAATTGTCTATCATCAAAGTTGTGCACCTACTTTTTCTCATCAATGTAATCAAAATGATTTACAACGACCTCCTCCTGTTCCACTTCGGAATAGAAGAATAACTCGACATAGTATTAAAAATCCTTCTGGTACAACTGGTCAAGACGAACAAATTGATAATGCTAATTTACTTTATTTTATTAATTATGAAAATATTTATCGACGAGGTCATTTTATAGTTACACGCTCAGAATTAATTCTTCATACATATGCTGCTGTTATTAGATTTGATGAAATTAAATTAGTTCGATTTGTTTATGATAAACCAGAGTCACATACATTCGAAATAATTTGTTATAATGGTACAATTATTTGTATAGGACATGGTCATCAATCATCACCTATGACAGATGAAATTCGTTTAATAACTGATCAATTTTGTTCACATGTTCATTTACAATGGGAATCGCTTAAAACATCTTCTAGGAAATCATTCGGATCAACTAAATCTGATAAAATGATATCAGAATATAAACGAAAACTAGTTCCAATTGGCTATCAATATGGACCTGAAGATGAATCAAATGATCATATGCAAGAATTATATGAATTTACATATGAAATTATTGGTCAAGGTAGTTTCGGTACTGTGGAAGCTGCCATTCGTCGATCGACACATCAACCAGTTGCTGTTAAGCGAATCGATTATACAAAATGGCAAGAACAAGGAAGGACTTCAAATGAAATTGATATATTATATCAACTTAAACATCCAAGTATTCTTACATTTCAATCATGTTTCTCTCGTCATGATGGTGTATATATATTTACTGAACGAATGGAATTTGATCTATTTGATTATATAACAAAACCACCAAATTTAGGTCGATTAAGAGAATCAACTTCAAAATATATTATTTATCAAATTCTTGTTGCTGTTAGTTATTTACATCAAAAAAATATTGTAAGTTAAAATATTCATTTTTTTATTTTAATATTAATAAATTTTATATTTAAGTGTCATTGTGATATAAAACCAGAAAATCTTCTACTTAATGTAATACAAACATCAACAGCATGCAAACGTGAACATGTCAAATTAGCTGATTTTGGAATGTCAAAATATATTCGTGATACTTCACTACGTCGTAGTCAAGTTGGAACAGTAAATAAATAGATTATTTAAATATTTAAAAACTACTTCGTTTTTCCTATTAACAAAAATAGAGACCATATATGGCTCCTGAATTGTACCATTCATATGAACGAGGATATAATAAATCAGCTGATCTATGGGCAGTTGGCATTGTTCTTTATGCTTGCTTGTCAGGATGTATTCCATTTGATCCAAATGAAATTGACAAAGCTGAACATTTAGTTAATAATTTTGTATCTATGTATCCATATAAAGAATGGAAACATATTTCAGACAATGCCATTTCATTTCTTTCAAAAAATTTACTTGTTGCTGATCCAACACAGCGAACAAAAGCGGAGAAGAATCTTATTAATAAATGGTTTACTGATGATCGACAATTACGAAATAATTTAAGAGAATTAGAAATAATGATAAAAATGGATAATGAACCATATTGGTTAACTAAATATTTACCATAATTAAAATAAATTTCTCTCTTATTAATCAGGATAATCATGAGTAACACAATCTGCTTAGAAAATTTTTATATATAAATATATTAAATTAAGAAATAAAAATTTTTTTATTTTTATTCTTGATACTTAATAAATTTAATTAAATAATTTGTTAATGATATTGATTCGGTTTAAATACTCTACTACAAAACATCTGTGATAGTGTTTTCTGGAAGAAATTGAATGAATAGACTTCCTTAATATCAACAACAACAATTGAAACATACGGTAATATCTCAAAATCTAGAAAAATTCACTAATGTGGCTGAAGTAAAATCAAGTCAACATTTTGCTGTTCAATTCTCGGTATGACTTTGATCAATCGTGCCATTAATATTAAACTAAATTGGTGAATAGTGGGTGTGGGTGGTGGTGTTCCTTGTTGATCTAAAGCGAACACCGGGATCTATAATTAATTCTCTCGTTTGATACTTTTTCTGCTTTTTCTTTGGAATAAAAAAAATCTACTTATTGAAAATTTTCAACTTTCTCTAGTATTTTGTAAGATTTATATTTTTCTAAATTTTTCCTTTCTAGATTTTGCGACATATTCAAATATACGAGTACTAAGTAAGATTTCATTTATTAAGCACATTTCAAACTTCAATCTACGTTATCGTTTTGATGCTTTCAAGAATATTCCTTTATATCAAAATTTGTCTTGTTAAAAATCTTAAAGTACAAATTTAATTCATATCGATTTCAATCCTAATCTATATTTACTAAGTATCATGATACCGCCGTACCAATATTATAAATCAATCTCTGATAATTGATGTTTCTAATTTTCTCTTTCTTAAACATATGTTTTCTTTTTATATTTCATTAGAAATCATTTGAATTTCTAACAGCACCCTCTTTATTCACGTATATTTTTGAACGAAAGAAAAGAAAAACAACAACAACAAACAATTAATAAAGCATTTTATCGACAACTATTTATAAACGAAATAGACTAAATTAATACATGCATGTGGGATTTTAAATTTCACATAAACAGACACAAAAGATATAAAAGACCAATAAATGTGTGGACGCAAATAATGACGCTGAGCGAAAATTGGAAGAAAAATGCATAACAAAAAAAAATGAATGTATACATCACAGAACTAGTTTGTTTATCAAATAGAATTATTCATATTTCCATTTGGTTCATAAACGAGATTCTGTATTTCTGTACTAGCAACTACTGGTTGACTTACATCAGGATTTTCTGTTGGTATTGGTTGTCTATCGTTTTTATTTTTCTTCAAAACTGTTTCAATTATATAATACCATGATGGAAGTATAAAATTAATTAATATAAAACAAATTATTGATTGATATATAAGTGATTGACGTATAACATGATATATATATGTTTCAATTGAAAATAAAGAAAATATACATAATGATATGAGTAATGATAAAATAACACGATTATATTTCCATTTTGATTTTGTTATATTGAATGATGCATGTATTAATGTATCAAGAAATATAACAGGTATAACAAATAACCAAAGTGAATTTGCAAAATTAAATGTTAAATTATGAAATAAATATAGACAAGCTAAACTTCCAGTTAGAAGAGCAAGTAAATTTGTGAATATCAAAAGAGCTTTTCCAAATGAAAGAAAAATCACGAATGTTATTAAAAATGTTGTTGTAACAGTAAAAATTGTTAATAAATATACTTCACGACGTATTTGTGCTAAAGATTCATAATGTAAAAATATGAAGCTATAAGGAAATATTGATGGTAATGAGCTTTGTTCTGCATAAGTGTACATATTATACATTGCTTGTAAATCATTACGATCACCTAAAAAAAATAAAATAAATTGATTAAATAAAGAAAATACATTAGTTTGCTCAATAAGTATAACTTGTATAAATTACGTCAAAGATCGATCTAAAAGCTTATAACTCTTGAATGGAAAGTCATAGAGAAGTGTGGTTTTCGCTATTTTTGTAGCTCGCACTAATCTCCGAAATTCTGAAAAACCCTACGAGATCATAAACCTACTGAAATAATTCTAACAAATACTTTTCTGAGGATTTATCTACTAAAATTAATTTGAAAAGATACTTTGCGGAAATAGTTCATGCATTAGGTATGTGCCTACGACTATCCTCCATTGAATGGTGAAATCAGCAGGTCGTTATGCCTTTCTCTTCAAAAGTTGTAAGCTTTTCTTTAAAAATTCCTATAGTAGTGTATAAATTGGTAGTATTTCTACTGAAGCTATGCATGTCTATGCACAACGTATGCTTAATATTTGAAGATTCAATTCAATGGATTCTAATCATAAAAATGATTATGGGTGCGCTTTCTCACTTAAAACAAAACAAAATAATTTGTAAATTGTTTACCTTTTGTTGATCTATATTGACAAAAGAATCTTGATGCTTTGATAACTGATCTGTTTTTTTTATCTGATATAACAAGATCATTTTGTGAGTATGGTGTTAATCGAACACTAAGTGGATTTCTACTAGTTAAAACATCATGTAAATCTTCTTGTTCTAACCATACCAATTTAAATTTATTATTCATTGCTGTTTCATTTAAACATTGTGCTACAAGATTATGGATTAATAACTGATTTTTTTTGTTCTCATAATTCATTGGTTTAGGTATAACAAACATAATTACAGGACCAATATCATAGTTTTCAAAATGTGCTCTCATATATGATTTTAATGATGAAGCATTTTTTGGAAGAAATTTATCTTCATATAAACGTGTATCAATTGAAGATATTAACCAAATACTACATATAATAAATATCACTGATAATAAACATAAAAATCCAGTAAGAAGTTTTTTAAAAATTGGATCAACATTTGTTAAAGTTGTTACTTGTTTATTCAATGTTTTACTTAATGATTTTCGACGATCTTTTATATAATAATCATTTGGTAATTGATGACAGAATAAACAATGACGCCGAGATTTAATACGTTTTAATGTTATAACAAGACATGATGCAAAAAAATGTACAATGAGTTATATATTCTATAAATATATATAATACTATTGTTAAACCAAGATATCGTGTACATGACATTGGAGATATAATCGACATAATTGCATAAGTTATCATTATAATTAATGTTGATGATAAAAAATATGGACGAGTAGATTTAATAATTGATGGAAGAATTTTTTCAATATCAATTTTAGTTGAAGCATTTATCGAAGATACTGGTAAATATTCTTTTATTATTTGATGATATTCACCGCAAACAATTGATATACGCATTGATTCAATAACTAGAAAAATCATTTATAGATATGAATGTTTTTAAACAGATTTGAGATTAAAACACCTTAGTCATTGACATATTTAGTCGCAAAAAAATAATAGATAAAAATTCTACAATAATTATCGATTATTATAATAAAAAAATCAACAATTTCTGTTCGATAGACTAATAAATTAAGCAGATACAGTTAACCGTCAAGATCTGTTTTTTTTATTGATTAGGGTACAAGAATCTCGTGATATTCTGCAAATTCTTCTCAATTATCTATTTACGAATAATACCATCCGGTTTATGTCTAATACAAGAAAAATACATTATGTATTATTCTACAATTATTAAGAAACTAATTTTTGAATAGAAAGAGAGTCAGATAAGAAATTAGTTAAATATATTATTTTTAGACTTACTTGCAACTACAAAAATAATAAGTGCCATTGGTTCAATAATTTGAATTTTAAAAACTGACAATAAACCAAATGTAGCACCAGTTGCAAGAGCCAAATTAAGAACTCCACAAATAGATAAATATCCTACAGATGTATGAAAATTTCCTTGAATACTGATAAAAAAACCAACAAAAATAAAAAATATTAAAAGCATTATAGCCATAAATGGTCCTTCATCACGTGCTTGTTTACCAACAGTATCTGTAATAGCTGTTGATGTTGATGGTGAAATTTCAATTAACTTTGATTGATATTTTTCATTTAAATAATATAATACTTCTCGTTCCCATTGCGTAGATAAATGACGCATATGATCATTTGATATATTTAGTGAATATCGAATACGAAATATTGGAACATAGGAAATAGTTTTTTCAGAGGATGTGTGTTTTACTACTGGTAAATCTTCTGGTTCGCCTTTTTCTTCTTCTTCGTCTTCTTCTTCATCATAATCTACTTCAGGTACAGTTGCATTAATAATTTTATAATCTTTACCGAAAATAAATGATGCTAAACCATTAGCACCTGTTAATGAATCAAAATAAATGCCACTTTCAACATATCGTAAATTTAAAGCGTCTTTATGAAATTTATCTGATAATAAATAATTTCCATCAACCATACAAGCACGATTTATTATTGCACATAAAGAAGTATAATTATATTGTTTGGAATTATTTACATCATTTATTTGAATAGAATGAATAAGTTTGTCTAATGAACGAATCTAAATATATAAATAGAATTTCTTGTAAAAAAAAAGTATATTAGTTATTAGATTATTCTAATATTTATGATTATTACAAACCCGTTGAGATTGAATAAGGATTCAAATGGGAAATTTCGGAATTAATTGAATCGATAAAAAAGCAGTTGAAATACGTTTTTTTAATCATTTATATTTGGTTAAGATATCAAATTTATTTCTTCCGATAAGAAATGTACTAACAAGAATTGACTCGTTTCATTCTATTATCTCTACTAACTTCTCCCATACAGTTGATTACATCAACGCCTCTAATATTTTCAACCTTCAATAGAAACTATCCAATCAACGGAATTATCCGGTTTTCGACGCAGATAAATGAGGGCAAAAAAATCTTGTATTTTCTAAAGAACAATCAAATCCATATAAAAATATGAAAACTAATGCTTCTAATCCAGATCCAAATATTTTGACATTCGTCTCAATGAATGTATGTTATAGGAATAAAGAATTTAATAACTAAGTGCAAATATTCAACATTACTTTTGTTTTTCTACGTATTTTACAAAGAAAGTTTTGTAGTAAGAAAACAAGGTTTAATTTTTCGAAAAAAAAAACACCCACACCCTCAAGATAAAAATTAGTGAATCTAATATATACAAAAAAACAGTCTGAGCAAAATATATTCTACTATATGACCTCGAGAAGTATTTTTTTTATCATCAAAAATATTTTATGCATGAAAATATTCTGCTCTAGATAAGTGGAATATGTTACAAAACAAAATTAATAAAAATTCTAATCATCAAACCACTTTCATACACATTTTGATAAAACATCAAGTTCATACTAATCTTTAGTTTTATCAAATGATATCTATTCTAATTATAACTTCTATCTCTTCATAGTCTAGTAACGTTTTCTTTTATCGAATATGATGAATAGCCGGTATATAAATAAATATGTCATTGAAAATGTTTCTCAACATAAGCTAACAGTTAAACTTCATTAATACTCAATATAGAATTATTTAGCAAACATTAATAATCTGATTAGAATATCAATAAGTATTTTTCTATTGAAATGTTCATAGTGCTAGACATAAAAAATTCTTGTCATACCTCTTCAATAATTTGATTATTTAACATATTAGTTTCATTGATATTTTCATGATTGATTTTTCTTTTTATAATAACATCTAATGCTGGATAAAGATCCATTTGCTGATGTGTACGAACATCTTTATCACTTCCAAAAATTTTATTAATTAATTGAGCATTTTTTGATGCTCGACCATTTCGAACAATAAAATCTGTTTGATCAAATTGACGTATTTGAATAAGACATAATAAACATATTGTAAGTCCAACAGTAATAATTAAACTTAATATTAATATAATCCAAGAAAAACGTATTAAAAATTTGGAATAATTATCCCAAAATTTATTCGTTTTTTCTTGTACTGAAATGATACCCATTTGGAATAGATTATAATCTTGATTAATATTAGATACTGGTATATTATTTTCGTTACTTCTAATCTATTCAATAATAATAATAATATGAAAAAGAAAAAAAGAAATGAATGAATTAATAACATTCTTACCATCTGTATTTCACTCATCTTTATGTATTTTTTTTTCGAAAAACTGATACACACGTGGTGGAATGTGTAGGAGGAATAAGAAGAAAAAAATAGTATATATGAGAGATGAAACACTCTATCTCCTATTTTCTTTTTTGAAACGTCATTAGGAACATATCAAGCAAGATAAGATTCCGGGTGTATACCTTCACATAAACACTTCAATATGACACGTAACAACAAAAGTCGCGCGACAAAATGAAAATAAAGAACACTTATTTCATTAATCGTGTATTAAATGAACACTTTTTTTTTCTTCTTGTGAAGTGTTTCAGATAGTTTGTTTATAGATATATTTCTTTTTTTTTCAACTATGATATCTATTCTCTAGTAGAAGAGTCCAGAAGAAAAGAGATAACGTTGTGTACTAATGATGAAGTGTACTACATAGACAAATTCTAGAAGTGTATCAATAAGAAAAAAAAGAAAAATATAGATTCTTCACACATGTTGCCTTATTCTCATTAATATTTTTTCTCGATCTAATTGTAAAAGAAAAATCTTCGAATGACAAATCGAAAGATGTGAAACACAGCGGACCGCGCGCGTATACCTATCAAAACGACGCGATAAAGAACAGAAAAAAGCGAAAAAAAATCTTAGCAATAATAATATCGTAACAAAATGAAGAGGAAACATCACGCCATACTCAGACGATGCCTTTTCTTGACATAGAGAATAAAGAAAAACGTAATTCTACTAAATAATCCAAGGACATATGATCGCATCAAATATTATTCATACTAACTGTTAATTAAATGGTATCGTATGATTATCATTCGAATATATGACTGTATTTCCTTTTCAATGCGGTCACAAGGTCATTCTGTATACATGTTTTTTTTTATTTCGAGGAACAAAAGGAAGGGAGAAAATATTAACCAATAGATCATCACTAACAAAATAAGACGTCGTTTGCTTTAATATCGTACTATTTATTTGACCTTGAGTATGTTTTATCTACTTTTTTACTTGTTTGTTCTGACTTTTCTCAAAAAAAAATCTATATATAGACAAAGTAAATGATTTAAGTATCCTATATTCTAGGTACTGGATGAGTATAAAGTTACTTACAAGCTAAAAAAAAATTGGTTTGATATCAAATGAAATTTTTTCTTATTAAAACTATGGACGTCGCTCGTCCATACGTTTTTGTACTGTTTAGATTTAATAAATGGTTCTCATGAAAAACAAATATTTAACATTCTATATTTCAATCTGGATTTTTTTAAGGAATGATTGATTACATTCTTCATACAATTACGAACTTAAAAGATTGGAAAAAAATGTTTGATATACACTACATTACCTATATGAAGATAGAACTGAGATATTTAACAAAGATAAATAATATGATAAGAGTACAATTTTCGGATAATTTCATACATAATAAAAGTCTAAATAGACGAGAACATATTTAAATATCAATTATATTATGATGAGAATAACAATAGAATTAATCGATGACATTCAGATGGATATATGTTTTGTAGTGGATAAATCAAATTGATTTCCATCAGTCACATAATAGGAAATGATAAATGATAGATTTTCTTTATCCTAAGACTGACTTAGATGACGCGGAAAACGCGTGTTTTGATAAGAACTGAATTTGATCTGTTTTTTCTATTTATTTGAACTAAGTTGTTTTTAAAAAACGGAAAAATAAATGTAAAAAGAAAGAAAAAAAATAATCTAAGCATTCGGGATTGGTGTGCCAGGTGTAGGAATACCAACAGTTCCAAAAGCAGCACGATTGAAAAAGCCAGAACCTCGTTTTAATTGTTCCTAAAAAAAAGAATTCATCTTTAAAAGTTTTTCGATAAAATAAAATTACATACACTTCTGCCTAATTTATTATATGCATCTTGCCAATTAGCATAAATAGGTGTTATAGGTACCATACCAGCTCGAAGACCACTTCGATTTATTGCTGTTACTGTTGTTACAACACTTAATGGATAAGTAACAGTTTGAGCAACAAACTAAAAAGAAAAACAAGTATTTCATATTCTATTTTTAACTAATAATAAATTATTTATATAAAGATGAGCATAGTATATGATGTATATTCAACAAAGACATTATCAATCATGTTTGTAGAAATCATTCATAGAATGACATTAGCCATGGTTTTTTTATGTACTTTTTTAAAATTTATCGTTCGAAGTTCATATCGTCTATTATGATTGATAGTTTTGTCTCATACGATTGTCTTTGATAACGATTGTATATACATAAATGACGATACTCGATATATTCGATAGAAGATACAATTACATCTTTCATTTGTAAATACCATGAAAAGCATTCAAGAAAGTCAAAGCATAATTTAGTATGTAACAGTGAAAATATGCTTTTATACTATCAGTTCTAGATAAAAGTCTGGCTATTTGTCTATCTAAATGTTTTGAATATTAAGAAAGCAATCAAAGACTCTTGTTGGCATTACAGTAGAATATTTCTAGTAAAAATTGAAGACTGTTCTGAAATGAATCTTACTATTTATATCTAATATACTATTCTTTCATTTAATAAAACACTTACAGCAGCCATATATTCATACATTGGCACCATTTCAGTTTGTGATGGTAATTGTGTTTTAAGCATATGAATAAGAACATTTGATATAACAATTGTTGCTATTTCCAATAACCACCGAGGAATAAGCCCACTAATATATACAAAATGAATACATCAAAAATAATTATACAAACAAAACAAATTTACATACACAAAAAATCCGCCAATTCCTTGTCGATCATAAATTTCTTGAAAATTTTGAAAAATATTGATTGATGAATAAGCTTTTTCACGACCGATAAATTGTCCCATACATCTTATTGCCATAACTATATAATATGAAAAATAAAATTCGATGTATTTTTTTTTCATTCATAATCAAACCTTGAAATGGATGTGAAATTAATATTCCCCATGATTGACATCGTACTTCTCTTACAGTTTTCTTTATACATTTATCCCATGTTACTTTTGTTTGATCATTTGGTACAACAGGTTCAACTGGACCAAGAAGCTTAAAAAAATAGAATTTATTCTAATTGTTTAAATTTCTTCTTCTATCTTACTTGATCAACTTTTGTTGTTGTATACCAACAAACCATTTTAGATAAAAGTGAACAACCAAATCCACGATATAAACCAGTAAAACCATCAATATTATAAATATATTTTACTAAAATCAAAACAAAAATTCTTAATTGATTTTCCTTTTTTTTCATAAAATATTAAAATAAACTAACAATAACGGAACACATTTGGATAAAATATAGCTTCTTTTCCAAATAAAGTTTTTCCTCGAGCTGCAGGTAATGGTTCATAACCCATCTAGAAGATATGAATAAAAATATTTTATTCAAATTCTATGTAGACATATATATATTACCTGCATTAATGCACGTGCATATGCCATTGGATGTCCTAAAGCTTGTTGAAGTGCTGTTGCTTTTAATACAGCAAATGTTGGATTTGCTGAATTAAATGTTGAAGTAAATCCACCCGTTGGTTGTTGTTGAACAGGTGTTCCAGCTGGTAATGGTGTTTGAATTGGTGCAATAAGACGTTCAGCTGATTGTAATAATGATGATGGGGTTGATACATTATCATCAGTTTGAATCTCATCATTTTGTAATGATAGATCCTAAAATTAAAAGAAAGAAATTTAATTTAGAAAAATAAAACGATATTCAAAGAAATTATATACAGTAGATCTAATAGTAGATACGGGTGGTGGTGTAGCCATAACTCGATTTAAAGACAATTTATAATGAAGAAAATCCGATGGAATAAAATTTTTACTTATTTATTGATTGGTAGATTTATTGTTCTTCTATTCTATTTAGTTGAAAAAATTCGAAAGAAAAGAATTTTTAAAAACATATTTAAAAAACATTTACAATGAATTATTATATTTTAATGTAAAATACCGTATGGAAATAAATTATTTCACTCATTAGCGCCATCTGTAGTGCAGACTATTCTCTCATTGAAATTGCTACAAAAGTCGACACAGACTTTGACAATGTTCTAGATTTCTGATTGTGACTTTAATTGAGTATTTAATAATCGAAAATTCTCTGTAAACATCTGTTGAAATAAATCTATCTTCAAAAATGTCAATATGTAGCTTCGGAAAAACTAGATCAGAAATTATTCTAATGAATGTTCGTAATGTAGTCATACGAGAGAATCTACTATACGAAAACAACATGTCATGATCATTTGTTTTGGAGATTCTTAAATATATTTTTCATATTTATTTCTAATGGAATATGTTAAATCAAAGATTATATGTAAATCATAGTACTACTGTTATGAAAGCATAACCTTTAGTTTATATTAGTTCTACAAAATTCATATTTATTTTCTTTGTAGATTATCTTACAAACATATCAGATGTACTAGGCAACATTCTTGATTTCAGTTTCTTGCTCGATCAGTCATTTGCATTGGTTTTGAGTTTTGCGATCGTTAGATTATTCTATGTCAAGCAGACCCAAAATATTTTCCAAAAGTTTCGAGATATATGCTTATATCATGTAAGTATTTGTGTACATGTATATGACTATTTATGCTTTATTTATTCATATCTTCATACTAATAGTTTCGAGCTGTGTTTGCATTTAACTAAATAAACAAAAAATTTATCCTATTTTGATAAATTCATAAGAAATAATTGTACTTTTTAGATATGAAAAGTAAATTTGTTGAGTCATTAGTTAGATAGAATCATAGTTGATTTTAAAAATGTTTTTGCAAATAACGATCAAGTATAAGTGATGAATATGTACGAAACAAATTATATTAATCATATTATTAATGTCAATAGATTGTTTATGTTATCTATATCATATTTTCTTTTCTATCTAAAGTTCTATAAGATGATATGAACATGTGCTAGTTGTTTTGTTTATAGAATTTGGTATAGAAAATAAAATAAATAAAAGATTTTATCTAAACTGCAAGTAGGATAATCAAGGATTTTCTCCGGTAAATCAAATCTTATGAAATCGGGAAATATCCGATTTAATCATATTTTTTCAATAAGAATCTTAAGCGATAGATTCAAAAGAGCGTTAATCTTCTTTCATATTTTGTTATAGACTTTCAGGACAAATCATTTGGGTATGTATGAATATTTATTTTGTTTGACAGCCAGTCATTTTTAATTGACGAATAATCGGTTCGATATTCAATTAATAAAAATTTACTTATAAAAAAGAAATTCGCTAGATCTATCAATTTCCCTTGAGAAAATATTTCATATCCAAAATTTCTCGCATTCAGCTTCAAACTTAGATTTTAATCGATAGTTTATCCTATCGGGGAATCACTTAAATCCGTTAATATTTCCGAAAATAAATACAACTAAACATGATTAATCAATATTCTTATCACGATAGTTTTTCCAGAGTTAAGTACAAAAGAAAAAGAAATATTCTTTTTTTTTCGTGCACTATACTTATCCTCGTAAATCGGAAAATAATTATTATATTATAGAATAATCGATACGTTTAATAGAGTCATTTAATAAAGAAAATTTATAAAAAAAATTATCTTTTGAGAATACGCAAAACAGAAGTAAAATGAGTGCAACATATTTATTATAGTCAATATTGTTATATTTTTGATGGTAAATAATAATCAAAGAATTCCATTTTTTTGACAAGGTATTCATTTGAGTTAAATCAGTATTATCTATTTTTATTCATTTATTTGCATAATTACTTTACTGATAATGTTATCATGAATTTCAAAAGTCATATCAGCTGACGTAAGTTACTATTTATTTCTCTGATACTAAAAAAATGTTAAATTGATTTCGTGATCAATTCAAATTGTTTCTAGTTCATATAGTTTTACTACTATAGATTTTTTGTATTGATAAAGAGAAAATTTCATAGGTTATGTTGAATCTGTATGGTAAGTGTGATAAAATATTATCCATATCATTTCTTATTTCTTTAAGAATTAATGATGAACAATAATATCTAAATAATCATTTTAAGTCCAAAGGATATTATATAGAAATGTGAATAGTCGATAGGTTAATGTTTGCTTTTAATCAAGAAAAATATTGTAGTCATCTGATCAAATATACGATTATTTTTTTATAAAAATCAGAGCAAAATGAATTTATAGTATTTTATGAAAATTTCGAATAGTTTATTGGATTTTATGCAAATTTAATATTCAGAAACCATATAAATGAAGCAATCAAATAAAGAAATCTTATCGTGGAGGTGAATAAAATGTAATAGAATTGAAGATTTTACTCTTTTTTTTTAGTATGAATATTTCTATATTTTTTATTCTAGTTCGAATCTCTTACGAAATCAACATCTGGTATTTCCATTAAATAATGATGAGAAAACGAGAATATTAGCAATGCTATTTCATACATTTGTAATAACATTTCTGTTATTTTCTGAGTAGTACAAACATGCAAGAGATGTTAATTACTAATAATTCTATTTGTTTAGTATCCCACTATAGATCTGAATAATAAATTATTTAATCATAAAATTTCATATTATAAATGTCCTTTTAACTCTTTTAAATTTTAGTATTCAAAGTTGTATAGATAGAAATACTAACAAGACAAATTCTTTAAATAATTGATTCATTTTTTTATTAAAAATTTTATATGACTTTTTTCTAGGTTATTACGATGATGATTTCTATATCTCGCTAAATTTTTTATATCATTAATGTGAACTCTCATCTGATATATTGCGTATAAGTAGATATACAATAGTATTTATTAGAAGTAAAACTTTAGCGAAACTTTTTTCTTACTACGATTGTAAATCTGTTAATATACATTTCTACGAGAAAAATATTTGAAAAACTTTTTTCATCAGAGATATTTCATATCAATATGTTATTAGTTGTTTTATTATGAATATCAGCCTTATTCTGTTAAACATTATCATCTATTTGCCAAAGATCTCTTTTTCTTTGTTCGGTAAAAACACCATTAGTACCCATTATGAAACCTTTCAAAACGATATACATTATATCAATTAGTAATATTATTTTAAGTTTCCTTTTAAATTACTTTTCTAAAGATTATTACCACAACTAAGAAAAATAGATTTACTAATAAGTACGCTTGATTACAGATGACCTAAAACAAACTATTACAATCTAAACAAAACATAGAAGAACATGTTCTTTAGAACTATTTAAGACATAGAATATCTCTGTTAACAAACGATAAATAGTGTCAACTTATTTGAAAGTTTTTTTTTGCATAAAAATAATATGAATAAACACAATCATTAATCTTGTTAAATAAATATTATCCGTTAGCAAGCAAGAGAATTACATACAAAGCTTTATATCGTTTTATTTTAGTAATCATCTAAAAAGATATAATGTAGTATGAATGGACATACAAGCAAATTCTTAAAATTTGGATGTATAGAATCATTAATTTCAAGTGAAAATTTGAGTTATTGACTTTTAAAATAAATACCTCGAGCAATTTTGTCCTACATAATTTTCTTACCTGTTAGCGAATAATATTTATTTAGTGAGATTTATAAAAAGTACTTAATGATAGTGTTTTATTTATTTTATCTTTATATAAAGAAAAAGAAACTTTTGAATCAATTTTTGTCACTAACAACTTGTGTAGTCAAATCAAAAAAAAAAGAAATGTTGAATTTGTTTTTGATAAAGTAAATTTGGGACTAGTCGATATTATTTGTAAGATATAGTTCGTTTAGATATCTTAAGAATTCTATTATTTTCATTTCAATATAATACTAGAGAATAAGAATTCAATTAAATTTACTATGAAACAAATCTTCATCATTCATATTTTTTTGTTCAATAGAATAAAGAATAATGAGGAAAAGGAATGTATTTTATAACGAATATTAATATTTAATAGAACTTACGTTCTAACAACGTATTATGTATAGGATTTGGTTCGTAAAAAATTGATGACCTGTTACATGTCATTTATAGAAATAGACTTATTGACAGTTGAAATCTCTTGAGAAATGAGATATTTCATATGTCTATTTTTTTCTTCTTCTCTATTATAATTAATTTAACTATATTAGATAGTTAATAGATCAAATGATTGTATTAAAGACTATTGTAATATTCATGTGTTCATAATAAGAAATTGCTTGTAGTTTTGATTGACAGTATATGACAGAACAATTTTTGATACGATCTATTTACAGACTGATATACATAACATCGATTCGCTTATCTGATAGTACGTTTAATATAATAGAGACCACTTTTATGCTTGTCAATTTAGTCATATGATAATTATGTTGATAAATAGAGTACTGAAAATAGATCTGGTAGAATATTATAAGAAAGATTCTATTTGATTGAATGTCAGTTTGAGAATGATAGTTTTATAATTGCCAGAAGGACGTAAAAACATTCTTTAAGTATGTCATTTGATAGAACAAATATTGTACTAGGAAAATTTCTATTTTTAGTTTTATAGGTGATAGATAGAACCTTGTTTAAGTTAAGATTTAAATAAATATATGCTTGACTACTAAGCTATTCTATTATTTCAATCCTTTTTTTTGTACTTCTAATCTATAGAATAATTTATACACACTGTTGATAATCTCGTACTTAGAAACAGGAATGTTAATAAAGAATTTTTTTGTTTTTCATATAAAAATAGCTTTTGATAATTCTTTTATATAACGAAATTTAAAAGAGAAAAAAAAAGAAAGAATAGTCCGGTAAAAGTTAACTAGTTTACTTATTAATTCTGTTAAAAGACAAGTACTCTGTATATCTGTCATGTCCAAATAAGTGGAACAAAAAGAAGGAGGAGAGAAAAACTAACAAAGAGAACTATTATTCCAAATATATTTCTTACAATATGTATATAAGATGTTTTTATTGCACGCATGATAAGAAAAGATGTATTTATATTCATTCATACATTAGGCATTCTTCTATAACAAGTTCGAATTAAGTAATTGTGGATTTCTTTTTATCCGAGTTATTTCCCTGTATGTCGTTCATTAGTATAACATAACAACGTATGTATTTGTGAGGAAACATGTTTTTTTACTAAATATGAATATCCCGTTGACTTTCCGCTCTCTTATTTTAACATATTCATCCAAGTTTTCTGTTTTCTCATTGTTCGAGGACTACTTCTTCTTCTTCTTTTTTTCTATAAGTATGCAATATTGGTATTTGTTGACATGTATTCATAATCAGATCATTTTGTAAGTAATAGACGAGATGTTTTAATCCATTTCTTCTTTTTTTTTTGTTTACCATAATCATATGTCAGTCGATCTGTTTATTAGATATGTCTAGGTTTTCTTCATGCATATTAATAATAGAATGCTCAGTATAAAATATAGGTTTACATGAAATAAAAATATATATGCAAAATCTGTCAAATATAATAAAATATTGATTTCTTTTTTTTTTCTCTATTTTTGCTTTGCCAATTAAAGCATGATTGATTAACTAATCGTTTTGTTTAGTAAACCATTGTTAGGAATCAATTACTCGAATCATAAAAAAAAATGACCGAAAGAACTCGGATTTAATATTATTTTGTGTTGCCGCGTAATAGACAGCATTAGAATATACTTTTCTTTTTAAATATATGATCACCTTTTTTTTTGATTATTAGATTTTATTCGATGAGATAATCGTCATTGTTTTATTTTGTATAATACTAATTATTTATTACTATTCGATGATTTTATTTTTATGCTGAACAATATAGAGACAATCGAAGTTATATTGAACTTGACAGATAAGGAAATGTGAAGTGCATCTTAATACTGTTTTTAATATATTAAGTTTTTTAATAAAATCCTGAGATATATTACTTTATTTATCGAATCTAGCGAAATTATTACTTTCATAATCGAATAAATTAATGTAACTACCCTCCAATAATATAAAAAGCATGTTAAAGTACGCATTTTAATGTTCCTGTTTTTTCTAAATTAGATAAATGTATATATGTCATTTTTTTTTCTCTTGTAATTTGTGTCTTTTCTCTTCTTCTTTCGAAGACTTTATCATTGAAGAGCGTATAGAAAATTGACGTCATTTAGTATTTTTGCTTCTCTTAAATATAATGGTAATTTCTTTTTCTATATTCACATCATATTTCATTATTATATGTGTAACGATATTGACGAGCAGAAATAACCTTCGTTTTATTGGTAATGTTTCTTTTTTTAGGTTACGAATAAGCGAAAAAATAAAAAAAAATAGTGTCTTAACAAATATGAATTTATTATTTTGATATGTTGCGTTGCCTCTTGAGTTATATCGATTCTAAGGAATAGCAAATCATTGAGTTCAAGATTAGGATAAAATATTAGATGGAATTTCTTCTTTTTTCTTTCTTTTTCTTTTTCTTCATTCTTTCTCTTTTCTTCTTGAAAGAGAACTTGATCTGTATCAACCACCCGTTGATTGTGATGTTCCAGTACGACTTTTACATACTAATTTTTTTCTACAATATTTCAACGACTTATTCGATAGAAACAAAAGAAAATGAATAGATAAGTCGTCTTCTTCGGTATGTCATGTCCAGATATTTCAAAAAAATGTGTATATCTATATATGAAAAGCAAGAAAGATACTTTATGACATTCTTTACATTTTTAATTTATATGCGAACTAATAGAAGGAAGTAGAGATTACCTTCTCGAACAGGAAAAAAGGTTATGAAAACGCACTCACTAATTTATTGCATGCAAATAAACATATTTATTATCTGTTTTTTCTTACTCAGTAATAGAATGAAGAAGAAAAAAAAAAGAATGACTTTTGAGAATAAAAGACGAAATTCAGTTATTTATGGTAGTTATTTTTAATAGATGTAATGATGTGTCAAAGTATGCTCTTGAAACGTCATTTTTAATATAATAATTTGTCAGGATTTTCTTCTTTGTTTTGTTTATTTATGTTCTATTATTATAGATAGTCATACTATATGGTACATAGGCAATAAAAAAGTGTAAGAGCTAATTATAGAATCGATGAATTCTACATATAATATTACATGCAATGCATCTATACCTGAAGCAACATATGTTGATGCAGCACCACCAATTCCACCAATTTATTTACAAGGAACTGCTGCTATTGTCTATACACTTTTAAGTATTCTTACTGTTGGCGGTAATGCACTTGTATGTTTAACTGTATTTCATTATATGGGTGTGACAACTGTTACAAATTTATTTATTGCAAATTTAGCTGTCACAGATCTTTTTATTGGGTTACTATGTATTCCAATAGTTCTAATTTCTGATTATCTTTTATCTGATTGGCCATTTGGAATATTTATGTGTAAATTTACATCAGTTGCACAATCCGTATTTGTAGTTTGTACGGTTTATACTTTAATAGCGATGTCAGTTGATCGTTATGTAGCAATAATTTATCCATTAAAACCCAAATTAAGACGAAGAGATTGTCGATTATTAATTATTATACTTTGGATATTTTCAATTTTATTTAGTTCACCAATATTTTTCGAAATGCATATTAGTCATATATGTTTTCATCGAGATTTAAATGATTTAAAAGAATATACTCAAACAGTATGTCAAACAAATGGATTATATCCATCTATTCAAACTATCTATAATATAGCTACATTAACAATAATTTATTTTATTCCATTAAGTGTTTTATCAATGGTTTATATACGTCTTGGTTGGCAATTAAATAAAAGTCATGCACCAGGCGAAGCTGATTCAGAACGTGATGCAAGAATTAAGAAATCCAAACAAAAAGTTATTAAAATGTGTTTTATTGTTGTTATTATGTTTGGTGTTTGTTGGTTTCCAATGCAATTATATATAAATATATTACGTCCGTATCTCGATCAAATATTTGATCAAAAATATGTACCTCATTTTTATTTTGCTTTTCATCTTATGGCTATGAGTAATTCATGTATTAATCCATTTATATATGGTGTTATGTCATCAAAATTTCGTGCAGGTTATTTACATTATTGGCATTGTTGTATTACATGTGGTGGTTTAATAAATGATCATCTTAGACAAAAACATCATATTAATAATGGTATGAGATTATCAGGAACATTTCGACGAACAAAAAGACCAACATGTGAAATAAGTGTTACAAATAATGAACATATTGATCGTGATCGTGCAAGTTCTATGTCCGCTCCGTCTATGATTCCATTAATGGCTTCACATAAAACATCAACATGTAGTTAAATATTTGAGAATTTTTATGATTTATTCAGTGATGTTTTTACATTATTCATTTGTCGTTGTCTGAAGTAACTCTGTATGTGTACATACTATTGAAGTGAAAAAGCAGAAATACTTATTATTTTATTATTAAATTAGTAAAATGAATATTCAATTAAAAAAAGAAAAGAAACTAACATTATAAAATTACGTCGAAAAAAAAACTTGAAATGAATCTTATATATTATGATAAATTAGGTGTCTTATATTACATGAATCATTAACGATGTCGGAATAACTATAAAAAGAAAGCTTGTAAGATTATGACACGCAATATCGAATTAAATTTATTTTTAGTATTCATAACGAGATTATTCCTTTTTAGTGTATTCTTCTAATGGAAACTAGTACCATGTGTTCGTGATAAAAATAAAATGTTTTGTATGACAATTGAATATTTTTTTTTGCTTAGAACAAAATCAAAAGCGGATGTTCATTGATGATTGTCTACGCAACGAACAAAGAAATTATATTACAATAGTTCCAATTTTTTCTGATGTATGTTTAGTATAAGAATCTAAAAATATTCTATTGTAAATTGTTAGATGCAAATAAAAGAAAATACTTGAATTGTTATCTTTCATAAATATTGACTAAAATAAATCCATTAAAAAATTCGATGATTCTATTAGTTTTAGGAAATAATTTTGTTTTCTAGAAGATGTTTCATTTTGTTTTTATATGCTACAGTTGTTTTAATAAGATCTTTTCATAGTATTTATCAATTTTAAAGATTGTAGTATATGTTGAAAAAAGGACGTTCGCTTGAATACTCACATGTACTTTGTTAAAATATTGAAATTATACTAATTGAATAGATTGTATTAAGTGCTCATATCTATTTATAACAACAGAGAATAAATGAGTAAACAAGTTATATAATTATCATATAATGTAGGAGATAAATATGAACGAATGCATTTATATGATAATGTAACATATATTAAATATCATATTTCTAGTTTATCTATTTATTAAATTGACTTCTTGATAATTATTACATGATCACCAAAGATATTCATGAAAGAAGAAACATCTTTCTTTCCAAGTAAATTAACCTTTACGTACTATCATTCAGAAGAAGAGCATTTAATCATGTAGAAACGAGAAAAACACTATTTATTATTTATTTATTTATATCTAACTAATAATTCGATATTCTCTTGACACAAAAACATACGACATCAATTTATGATTTATTAATATTTAATCAATTATCCAATATTTTCATATTAACTAAGTTTTGAACTTATCGGTCGAGTATATTATTTGAACAGTTAGTCGTATAAATCTGTCATTATAAGCATATGTGACAGAATGATGAATATGCTTAATCAGATATGTCATGTTTTTTCTAGATTAAATTTAGAATAAATAAACCTTCTTTCATAAAAATAAAGAAAAGATAAATTAATGTTTTCTTGAATTTATGATATAAACATAAATTTTGTCTTATATTTAAAATTATTTTCTATCTTATTTAATTAAAGTGTATTATGTTTCTGTAAAAACCCAGTTTGAAGTCAACACGAATCATATATAATATAGAAATAGACTGTAAAAACGTCAAAAAAATAAAGAAGGTTTATACTCATTTTATATATTGAAAAACACCTAGAAATCTTTTGTAAATAAAGAACTTCATCGGAAGAAAAGATATTAATAACTAAATCTAGTTTTTAATTATATGATAAATAATCATATACAATTGTACTAATACTATAAGTTAAAAGAACTTCTTCATAGACTTTTTTTTTGCGTAGTTTTATAATATAGTTATTTTAATAAATATGTCGTATCGATTTAATCATTGTTATATTTTAGTAATATTATTCAAATTGAAATTTAGTCTTGTTAGAATTAAATAAATAATATATAAATTTCAATTATCTCGTTTCTATCGGTAACATATTCTTTAAAAGCATGGCAATCAGATATTTTGTCGTTTGTATTTTATACGTTTCTAGCTATTTAGATGATTCGCTTATTTATTCTACGTATGTCTTAGTGCGTATTCACTCAATTTCATAACACTGTCTGATGAATATTCTTAATCTACAATCGAGATTTTAAAAAGTTAATATTAGAATCCTTTTTGAATGCAAAAATAACTGTTTTTTATAGTTAAAACTATACTGTATGTTATATATTGATTTGTGCCATAATCGATGTATGATCGTTTGTATTATTGTTATCAAATGGTCATTTAGGCTATAGTTATCAAATTTATCAATGTCACCGACAGACACAGATGAATTTACGTGTCTAGAGAATATTATAATTTATTGTTACAATATTATATATAACAGAAAAGATACTTACAGCAAATTGATAATAAAATATATTTTTATATATGTATATAGTGTAATTATAATGAAAATAAAAACACAACATAAAGAATCTAAGAACATAAAAAATATCTATCATGTAATAAGTAATATTTGTTTTTATGCGCTAAGAAGAAAATGGGCACTTATGCTCATCCATACATTGTATATTTGTCTAGCAATAAACGTATAGTATACCAACACTTCAAAAGTTCCTAACAATGACGTTTACTATATCATCACTATTATTATCAACTATTGTTGCATATATTGGAATGTATATATCTGAACAATACCTCTGTTATTTATGCTGAGATGAATACTAATTTCATCTTCATACTAATGTATTTTTTTGATAATTCTCTGTTGACAAAATGGATATCATAATTAGATTGATATTACAAATTCATTTTATTTTGACAATAACCGGTTCTTACTACAAGATATATGACTCGAATCTATTTATCATCATAATATTTCTAATGTTGGTGCTTGAAATACTTCTCTATACTCTATATGTGCATTTATGCTACTTATATTATCTACATGTGTTTACGATTATTATTTAGAGTTGGCCTGTAGTATGAATATTAAGAAATTCTCAAATAACGTTAAAACGTATCTTTCTGATATTTCATTTAAAAAAATATCTTCAAGGTCGATTGCTTCTACTAGACATAAAAATTGATTTAAATACTAAGGTTTAATAAATTTTTCTGATATTTGTGGCTGTAATTTTTTAGTTATTATAAATTTTCAAAATAAAAATCAAAATAAACGCATTTCAGATTCGCAGTAATATTGTATTAGAAAATGATCGAACTGACACGACATTTATTTTAAAGCATTTTTATTGAAATTTGAATAGAATATAAATTATAAATGAAATGAGAAATAATTATGTAAACAAAAATGCTTGATTAATTGATCGAATAAAAATGAAAAAATTTATGGAAAACGTCCTTTATTGAAATCTTCATCTTCTCTTCGTTCATATTTATCAGCACGATTCTCATATTTATCAGCTTCACGTTGTTCATGACCTCTTTCAAAATCTCGAAATTCACCTTCGATTTTTCCTTCTTCACGACGAAAATCATTGATGAGACCTGGTTCACGTTCACCTTGACGTTCACGATTGCCTTCAAATCCACGTTCACGACCACCTTCAAAGCCACGATCACGACCACCTTCAAAGCCACCTTCACGTTCACGTTCACGCTCACGTTCACGATTACCTTTGAATTCACGATCCATATTGATGTATAAGTTTATTTTTTCTTTATAATAAATGATCTACTCATAAAATATCCCCCTTTATATACGGCAATACTATTATGCACCTTTATACATCATTATGATTATTATTCAGGACTACGCCCTTCATATCAAACTATCAATCCAAACGCAACGTAAAAGTATATTTAAATATGTTATTTTTTATATAATATTTAACCAATGACAAACAAGCAATATATGCATGTTATTATGTTTTTGATAAATAACAAGAATATATTTCAGATGAATAATAATAAATTGCGTATTAAAT